ACCTCATCAGCAGCACTAGTCGTAGTTTCGATCGCATAACCTTCAGTTGTGGTAATAGTCAGACTATCCGGGGCTACCTCTGTACCCGATTCATTTTGGTTTTCTTCATTTGGCAAGGGAAAAGGTTTGGTTGGCCTAAAACCGGCGGCAGGATATGGTGCATATTTGATCTCACGCACTGTTGCCTCTATTTCGAACGGTTCGACAATATTGCCGGCATCGATGTCGTCCTCGGTTATCTCGGTCCTGTAGCGGCTATAGCGAATTTGTCTTGCATTTGCCAAACAAATGCTGGAAATTAACGTCATTAGCCAAAAGGACTTGAGAAACCACTCCATAATCAGTATTTTTTGTTCAAAACCCAACGACACAGACAGAATCCTTTTGATAAACGGCAAAATTCAACAAAAGCAACAACACCAGCCGTTTGCTACTAATTATTTGTAATATTTTCAACAGACTAATTCCACTCCAGCCGGAATTCATTATTTTTATATAAATTCTCATTAAATGGCAGAACCAAGTCCATATACATTTTGGCTTGCCTTGTTTTTTTCGGTTTCAATTCTAAGCCATCCCCCGAGGGAGGTAAATGACTGAGTTTGAAATGGAAAGTGTAATGGCGGCAGTGGCAGTGGCGTCTGTCTCAATTTGGCTACAATCCAAACTTGACAAATCGTCAACAGGCATGACGGTACAACACGTATTATTCACGTATGTCGGTATGCATGTGTGTGTGTGTAAATATTGTATAATAAGTCTGTGTAAATTTGATAATTAATATTTATTATTATTATTTTTGTTGTTGTTGTTGTTATTTTATGCATAAATACAAAATTGTTTGTTTTTGTGTGTGTGTGTGTATTGTGTTGTACTGAAATTTCTAATTAATTTTAAAAAAATATATGTATTATGAAATTTAAAATGTCCCACATAAATTAATTAAATATAAGAATTTATATCTGAAAGGATTTTTGGAAAAAATATTGTCGGTAATTGGCGCTCAATTTATATAAAAATGGACGAAAGCTAAAGCTATCGTAGGAAGCTAAATCCGAATCGATTTTAAAAAAATAACAAACGTATTTGTAGATTAAATTTGTGTGTCAACTAGACATACTTTCCGTCTTTATGCGAAAACCATTTCTAAATCTAAATCGGTCCTTACCAATTTCCGTTAGGTTAGTCCTTTTTGTCATATGAAAATTTGAAACAAAATCTTACGAATATTCCCTAAACCGATCTTTAAATAATTTTTGGTAAATCAAATTCGTAGTTACACCCTAATGTACACTTAAACACAAGCACACATTGCTGCTCCATAGGTAAGTTAGGAATTTTATTAAAAATTCTAAACATTTGCTTAATAATATTTACAAATATAGGTAGGCATTGTTCATCGTATTAAATAATTTCCTTTACTATCAATGATTGTCTCACCTCGCTTTATACGTACGTATGTATGTCGGTGTATAAGCATTTATTTGTGTGTGTGTGTATGCGTAGAGATTATACTGTCGTTGCCGGCTATGTATGTATTGAGTGAGAGATGCTACGTGCCTTGTTAGTTAAATGTCAATTTTCTCGCAACAAAACACATTTTGGGTTTCATTCATCTTTGCTAAATGTGTCTGTGCGAGTGTGTGTGTGGTTGTGTGCGGTAACATTAAATAGCTTTTAATATGGTCCTGTCATGAAAGAGTGAGTGAGAAAGCATTTAACCAAAATCTCAAATCTCTTTTTCTGAGTATCAAAGTGTATGTATGTGTGAGTGTGTTGATGTGTGTCTGGCTATGCGCTTGTATTGGTAACATTAACATATCAGTTTGGTCTGTTTGTCATTTGTCATTTCGCATGCAAAATGTTAAATTTGTCAATGGGGTTTTATTTCCTTTGCTTTGGTAACAGATCCAGAATAAACTTTTACGAAAACTGGTTTCTATGACTGTGTATATGTATGAATGTGTGGGAGTGTGTCTGAATACAGTGTACACTTATATCATCTAGACGACCTTGACAAAGTAATCTAATGATGAAGTTTCTGTTGATGTTATTAAAGCTGTCCTAGTTCAACATTTCACATCCCCCTATCGTTCGTTCTCCCAACCAAGCAGACGTAGTTGACTTGTTGGGGGTTTTCTTTGGGATTTGATTAGTTTAATTTTGAAAGAAATTTCTGCAAACACTTGGATAAATGGAATGACACACAATTTGGGTGACCTTAAGTTAATGATGAATGTTTACCGAAACCATGGTACAAAAACTAACCACAAGGATGTTGAATTAGCATTTTTTATTGTGAAATGAAAGGACACAATTAATATTATAAACATAGTTAAAGGGAAATGTAACTGTAAGTAGTTAATGCGACTAATGTCAATTTTCTTACAAATGTGTTCTACACTGTAATCAATCCCCAGAAAAAATCTTTACCTATAAAATTAACATCATAGAAGAACCGATACTTTGGCGATGCTACAAATACTCTCTTTTTTTGTATATACAGTAACATTCAAAAGAGTCTTCTTCCTAGGGATCTGCTGTTTTTTTTTTCTTTTCAAATTAATAAAATGCAATTGGCGCCACCCCGAATCGTCCAACCATAAAACCCTTGTGGATGGCGGTATCCAAAATTGCCTATGGCTAAATTTGAAAGGACAGCATATGGACATCAATAAAGCCACTAAAGCGACACATACCCGACGACTGTGTTGGTTCAGTCATTCATCCAGTCGGTGCCATGCATCCTGATGAAGCGCAATTTGCCACAACCGTCCAAACATTATCAACAGCCATATCAGCCAATGGCAATAAAACAACACTAAAGTGGGTAACAAGGCCCTCCATAAAACCGTCACAGCAAACAAAACACACCGACAATTCGGGGATTTAGTTGGATTGGACAAACAGTGACAGTCGAATAGCCTGCCAGCCAGTCAGCCATCCAGGCAACCGACCAGCCATTGAGCCCCAAACGTCAGCATATGAAGTTAGGCAGCATGAGCAGAAACACAAACATGTGGCTTCTAGCAATACCGGGCAAGGACTCGGGTCCTGTGTGGTTCAAATGTCAATAGTGTGGAAAAATGATGACAATGAGAATGTTGATGGCATTGCTGTTGATGAGACTGAGAATCAGAATCAGAATTCAAGTCCGAATGCCTGGCATGTTGAGTACGGCGTGGAAGGAAATGCAAGTGAAACGCCAGTAATGCAATATGGCTGAAATTAACTTGCATGCATGCACAAACAAGCCCGTTCTCTATCACAAAACACACGCACACACAGACACTCTCGCATGCAGCCGTGGACAATCGCATATTTTAAACGCTAATTCCATAGAGAAGCCACAAGGCTAAGTGCAGCACGTATCGTGTGCACCACAAGGCATGTAATTGTCAACGGTATTCCACGTTCTGGAACCCATCTGCCATGTGTGCGTGAGTGTTACATGCATGGAGTGTGATTCTTTTTGCCAAACGCATGCATGCAGGTCACTTTAGGGAATGCAGTTTTCTAAATTGCGTAAATAAATCTCGAAGTGGAAATTAAATAATTTTTGTCATTGGTGGATTTAAACCCTTTAACTGGTGTAATGTGTGTGTAAATTTCGGAGTGAGTATTACACATAGTCTTGTCTATGTTGTTTTTAAGGGAATAGCCGGCAGACGCTGGAATTTTACATGAAATCGATGGATTCATATTTAAATCTGAATAGATTTTAATCAACTTTGGGACAATTCAAGTCAAAATTCAATGCAACTGAGAAATATACCCTTTGTTCTGAACTTATTCCTCTAAACCTTTTAATATTCTGCGTAACATATGTATTGTGATACGCGACCAGCGGGAACACCCCAGCCGTACTCTCATCCTGCATTCCTGAAAAAATTATAAATTCACTTTGAGCTGATACTAAACAAAAGGAACTCCCGTTCCATTGTATTCTAATACACATCCCTTTCTGCTCTGGAATTCGGCTACAATTGCCATGCCCAACCCTCCAATGATGTGGAAAGTTGTGTGGTGTTTTGATTATTGACGTCTGGCCGGGATGTATAGCAATATTTTGTTCGCCTGCAATAAATATGTTTAGACTGCCACAATTTTCATTTTATGGAAACACCACCACACCTTTCCTCACTCGTTGCTTCGCATGCTTCGTGGAAAGGGCGGGTGGAGGTTTGGCGGTGGTACTGGGCCATGAATGAATTGATAGAGGATGTTTGAATTGCAATTGTTTCCCCAATTGGCTTTTATGTTCATTTTGGCAAAGGCATTGCTTTGATTTCCGGTGTGTTTGCAATGTCCAAATGCGACAACGCCGACAACAATCGGCAATAGCTGCTCGCCAACCAACCAGCCAGCCAGCTATCTCGATTGCTTGTGTATGGATGGATTCTTAATTAAAATTATTTGGCACTGCATTGTGGAGTGGAGACGACAATGTCAGGCGGGTGTTGTATAAAATCAGAGCACTATTTGGGTATTGTTTGCGAGTGTGTGTGCATGGATGTGTATAAGTGTGCGTGAGTCTTTGGTACTATTATTATTAGCCACAGTAGTGAGTTCTTTGTGGGACTTGTTGTGTAGTGTTTTCCATGAATCGCAATTGGTGCAAGGGGATGAAAGCTAGCACCTAAGCAATCCATCGAACTGCCAGTGTATGTGTGTAAATAAAAATGCACAATGCTGACTGCCAGCTAGATATATGGTGTCGGTTAATGGCGTCTTTGCTGATGAATTTTTGTGCATAACGTTCCGTTCTATACCAGAATCGAAAGTGAGTGGATCATTTTGGTCACGTTAGCCCATAAAATCAGCATAACTTTGATTGTCAGCACCAACAGCAGCAGCGGCGGCAGCAATGAATCCAACTATTTTTTGCTTATGCACGATGACGGACCAATCAAGGTAATTAATGCGATCTACACAAATAAGGATCTAAACGTTGTGCAGCTATGGCGCATCCGAGCAGTATAAATGATGAGGCGTTTCAACGAAATGGTATCAGTCGTCCCAGGCTTAGCCAAAGCTAAACAACCCACTTTACTCTCAACACTAACCCAGCTCTTTTCAAGTGAAAACCATCCAAACGAAAAATGGCCAAATTCCAATTCGCTATTGTCATGCTCCTCGTAGCTTTCGCCGTTTTGGGCTGTGAAGCTCAAAGACAACACCGTGGTCGTCCAGTTCGTCTCATCCAACGCAACCGTAAATTGGCCCGCCAAGAAGTCGAAGAACCCATTACTCCCTATCCCTCGGCCGATGAATTGAAGCCCGAAGTGCCCTTCGAAGAAGTTGCCCCCACTGATTTCCCCGTCGAGGAAAGTGAAGTTGCCCCCGAAGCCAGTGAGCCCATTCCCGATGAAGTCTATGGTCCACCTGAGGTCTCTGTCTTGTACAACACTCCCGATGAGGTCTATGGCCCTCCTGAACTCGACGCCAATGCTTTGCCCGCTGAAGTTGTCTTGGCCCGCCAAAGACAACGTCAAGCTCGTTTGGTAAAGGCCCGCCGTCAAGCCGCCTATCGTCAAGCTAAGTTGGCTAAATTGCGTGCCGCCAAGAAAACCACTGCCTAAGAAGAGCTGGCTGTGTAGGTAATTCTCTACTTCACAATGAGAAGTTTAGAAGAATTTCCACTCCCCCACACCCTTACCCCCCGGAAAGATATTGACATTGCTGCTGCTGTATAAACGCATTACGAAATTGTTCCCCCTACCAACACTAACAACAAAAAAACTAATCTAATTGTAAATTAAATATAATTTAAACGAATTTCTGAATGAAAGAAAAAACCTTGAATCTTAGAGAAATAAAATGAGCTTTGTAAAGTAATTTTCAATGGGTTTTGATCCGGCACATTGCGCTAATACACTTCCGACAATAGTTTATTATGGCAAATGCCATCGTTGGCAAATGCGTTCGAAGAGCCTGCAACAAATTGAAAGGAATTTCAATTTGAAGGCAAAAGACAGGCCAACAAGGAAGATGGCAAAGGAAGAGACAGAGAAAAATGGAACAAACAGGGCTCCTCGATCGAATGTCAATGCAGAAAAGGAATTCCATTTAAACGCCATCTACTCTACCAACCATCACAGCAACTGTCGTCGCTGCTTTACTAAATTTCATGAGACATTATCCTTAAGGATAGGAGCACGCCTCCTCTCCACCTTGCGCCGTTGTTCGATACAGGATTTTTAGATGCATTGGGTTATGGTTGGAAAAGCAATTCAATTGTCTGGTTCTTAACTTTCAAGTCCTATTGTAGTTTTGCCGAGGTAAATATTATCCTGTGATGACTGGCTCAGGGTGGTGTGTACGCGTGTGTGTATGTTTGTGTGTTTATTGCACTTGAATTGTGTTGAGTTTTCATTTCATCTGTATCGTAATCATATATAAGTGTTATTGTGTGTGTGTGTGTTTCTGGGCATCATGTGGATGCACCAAACATTGGGTGTGAATCGAGCGTAACTATTATCCAACTGCGGGATATTTCGTTCACTGAACTGGCAAATATTGATAAGAAATACCGAAAATACCACCACCCATTGACAATCATTGGATAGGGAGGGTTTTTTTACTGATTACCCTTTAGCTACCATGAAATTTTGTTCGCTGCATTTTATAGGGAAGTAATTGTGTCCGCTGGCGAGAGGAGATGAGATCAATGGGGAGTAGTTAAGAAGAGTTGTAGAGTCTAGCGATGTTTGGCATTATAATGCTTCAAAAGATTTGAAATATAATTTCTTTATATTGGAATACCATTCAAAAGAAAAACAAGACTTGGCTACTGAGAAGTTTATCAAGATTTTCTGCATCAATTTCTTATGACTTTACGAGATTTTGTAGTAACTTTCGACTAAGTCCCCTCTTTGTGTTTGATTTTAATAAATTTTGGAGCTATGGAAGCTAATTAATTTGTCACCAAATTTTGTAAATTATTTTGATTATCTTATTCTGAATGTAATTGTGACTGCAGGAGGAGATGATCATTGTATAGTCAAGCTATGTTTGGCACGATTGTGTTTCCAATGGTTAGAAATCTTTGGCTTTGGGTCTACGTAGTATTTTTTTGTTTTTATTTTTTTTTAATTCTAATGAATTTTGCAGCAATTTAGGCAAACTATTTTGTTACGAAATTTTGACCGTTATTTATATGTTCTTATTCTGAATTCAAATCACAATAATAAGTGCGTTTAATACTGATATAACACCCTTTGGTTTAGGTGATTTCGTTATGCTTCCGCTGAAGCTTTGGATCTAGGACTACATCTAGATACCTGGTGTTATCTGAGTATAGTATTTCTCGATCGCATAGCCGTAGCTTACTTTCACCCAATTTTGGCATACATTCAAAAACATAAACATATAATTCACAGAGAGAAAGTTTTCTTATATTTATGAGAAATCAAAAGAGCAGCTTTAAAAAAATAATAGCCTAAGAGAAACGTTAATCATCTCTTAAAATTTTAGTATTGAAATTATTTAAAATATAATTGAGGTTTACTACGTCATCTTGGGAATATCAAGAAATTATTAATCACCCGTCGCTTAATCAATGGCGAAGTTGTCGTCTTCATTGTCATCGTCGTGCTCATTATTAGCGTCATCATTATCATATTTGCCTAAAATGTAGGGGAGGTGATTTTCAGAATTCTCATGAAGCACGCGTTTCAATAATATTGCAAATATAGATAGCCGCCGAACCTCGCTCCGTTGCGCCAGACGTTTCTCGTGATTTTGTCAATTCGTGGCCTTTACAAAGACGTTTAGTTTGTTTTCGTATCACAAAACTCTCGTGAATGTTTTTGGTGTTGTTGGTATTGTGGTTTTTGTTTCGTCTGGGAATAACCCAAACCACAAAAAAGAAAACCCAAACAAGTCACCGGCTTTTGTCAAGACATATGAATGAGATACAAATGTGTCTACTTGAATAACAACTACAACAAAAACACACCAAAACAAAGGAGAATCCATGTTAACGGTGAGTAGAGTCAATTGGTTTGATGGACATTAGTGGCAGCATCATTGAAAGAAATTTACTCGTTATGACCATTGTGAGAGGCCCAATATATATGACGTAGGTTGTCTGTCTACCCGCTGAATTTCAACAGAATTTATAGGGGTTCAATAAATAGAAACAAGTTCATACTTGTGGTATAATATTTTCATAGGCAAATTCTTAATTAATGCAAATTCTTAATTTAATTATATATGTAATTAATTATAACAGCGGGAATAAATTAGAGTAACGTTCAAACTATTATTATTATTTATTCAAGAGATTATACGAGGGACTCAAAATTGTACAAACTTATCATGTAACCCACTGTTAGATTCTAAAAAGGTTTTGACAATATTCCAAGAGAGCTATGAATAAATTTTAAGATCAAATTGAGGACTGAAACCAGAAACAATGGATTTAAAAAAAGTTATTAGAAATTGAGATTTTGAATGATTGTTGTTAAATGTGGACCATATCTATTAATGTATTGTTCCGATCTAGAACAAAACAAAAAATACGTCATTGAATAATCTGCTATATAAACAAAAGTTAGTTGGTTTTTGTCTCGATTCCATAATAATGTCGATTTGTCTTTGTGAAAGGCCACATATGAATGAGTAAGTTCGTATACACCAAAGACATGCTTTTGTTGATAATTTTTGGTTGTTTTATCAAACAAATAAAAATAAACCATCTAAGAGAGTACAAACAATGCCAAACAAGGGTCATACATGCTACTTACTCATAAGTCCATGATCTCCCGTCTGGCCATAATGCTGGCATGTAATCCAAGCGTATCACTGTCATTGAGTAAAGACCTGCACCTGAAGAGAGTGAGCGAGATACAGAAAGAAAGAGAGTCTTTGATGCGAGATCAAAGGCAATCGAGGCAATATTCGTATTTATAAGCATCAGTTTAGTAAAGCTCATCGTAGTTCCATACGTGAAAGTGACATCAAAGTACACACATAAAATTTAAGCGCGTCAATTCAAATTTGCTAAAACAAAACGAGTTTGTTTGTATTTTGCCAAACAAGAAAACAGCAACAGCAGCAAAAAATAAACAGAAAACATTTGTGTAATAGAAGCAATCAACACACGAGTCAACACATGATGGCAATTAATGACAGATTTGTTTTAACAGTGGCAATAGGTGTACTTGCAATGCAAATGACCCTGGCCCAGAGACCCCCCTTTGCCGGTAGCCGTCCACCAAATGGCCTCAATCAAAAGGATAAATACAACACAAATTCGATTTCGTCAACTCCCGAAGTTTCCAATCGCTTTGGTGATTCAGCAGAGCCCATTAGCAATATCATACCCTATGGCCAGCCACAGAGACCTCCAGTGGGCCATGTCGTTACGCCCATAACACCATATATACCATTGCCATCGCCAGCTAATGTACCGTCATCTGTTCCCAACACCAATGCCAGTGGAGTTAACTTTGCTGATCGTTTTGGTGATGCTGGTTCAAATGCCGTCATATCACCTGGTGCCTCAACCACTACATCAAGGCCAGTACGTCCCTTGGATGCCCATGGCGATCTGGCGTTAATCGACAAACTGAGTAAGCTACCACCAGATCAACAGCCATTCTGGTTTGTCAACTATCAGGCCATTGAAGCCCAACGCAATGGCACGGCGGCAAATGTTGCAGGCTCCATATCGGCAAGGGGATCATTTTTCGGTTGATTTCCAACAAATAGCTTTAGTATTTTATTTTATACATATTTAGTCATTTTACAAATGAAATTATTTTAAACATTAAGCACTTAGTATAGGCATTTATTTTTTTACATTTTGTGTAAACCACAAAATATACACCAACAATAAAAATTATATTTATTTCAAAAAGAGACAAATGGAAACATTTTATTTAAAAACAAAAATCACCTTCCAATGAGGGAGGGGTAGTACAGTAAAACAAAAACATTAAGATTCAGAAATTCAGCAACACATATCATTATACTGAGATTAACCAGGGGTCTATTCTCCCGAATATAATCGTGTTATCTCTGGACATGGACCAACAATAAAAATAACAATAACAAAAACAACAGAGTATATGTTTGTCGTCTATAAATACGGTTTGACAGTCCACATGCAAGCTATTTTATTTTAAATTTATTGTTTACAGATTATTATTATTTGTCTCAAAAATATCTTCAATTGTGTATATTTAAATATGAGTGAGTGTGTGCGTATGTAATACCCATGTGACGCATTATTCGCAATGTAATACACAATGAAACTGAAACCTGTTCTTGGGGAATTTAGGTGGTTATATAATTTATATAAAGTAAATATGTATGTCATTTAATTTAAATGAATAAACACTTGATTTGATATATTGATGCATGCAGAATGACAAGGCAAATTTATTCACTATCCTGCAATAATGATCACTTAATCTCAAACATCCAATGCGGAGGAAATGAGTACAGTAAGGAAGTGGTCTACTGTAAAAATTTGAGGTTCTTTTGTCATTATCTGAAGTTCATAAAAAAGAGTTTTTGCCCCTAATATCATTTAACATCCCTGGGGATATTCTGTAAATAATGATATACGATTATATTTCGGTTCCAGGAGATGTGAAGTTCTACTTCGGACGAAATAACAACATTTGATTCCGATTTAATATAGTTGCATGAATATGTTTTTTTTTTTATAAAAATGTATATAAGTGGGACCATCACATATTGAAACAACTCTTTAAGAAACAACCTAGAAATTCCCGACAGAGTAATTTTTAATGAAAAAATCCCAGCAATAACCAAGAAAAAAATTTAATAGATAACCTTAATGTGTATGGAAATAATTCGGTAATACCAATCGTTTTAATCAGTGAAATGATGTTCAGAGTTTTAATAAGACAGAAAATATTCCATAGTAAAAAAAATCAGATCATCCTCATTTATCATTTAGAATTGTGGGAAATCCCATTCTTTTTGCACTTGATTCTTAGAATATGCTTCAATGTCATCCCACAGTTTATTAATAATTGTATTTAAAAAAATAATTCATTTATGATTTTTTACATTAAAATGTTCTACGAAATGTCGTAAATCTGTTAGCAATTGTGATACGCTACATTGCAACAACAACAACACGAAAAAATTTTCCACTCTTCTACGTTTCCACTGCTTCAACATTACTCACACGAACGTCCGGATGCATAACCACAATTGTCAACAATAATTGCCACAACACTGAGATGGGCAAAGTTCAGATGACGGGTTTTGGTTGCCTCTTGAAATTCCATGTAAATCGGCACAAAAGTAGAATAAACACTCACGACAAATGATTCAAGAAGTTGCAATGCCATCATCCCTGAGATGGATTACGTAAAAACTTCTTAAAATACGTATGTATATGACTGTATAAAAATAAAACAAGGAAACAGTAAGAAGCGGGGATGAACGAACAACTACTTTTGTGTGGCAATGAATCTGACTCCAGTTTTTACAGTTGGCATTACATTTAACGGTTATCTACCTCATCGCTGTCGTCAGCATCACCGTCTTCGCCATGCTTGGGGAAACTACAAGCAACCAGGAACAAAAAAAAACGACACATCTAAGTCTCGAAAGCAAACCAAGCAGGTGACAAGTACCTATGTATGAAGAGGCAATCAGTCAGACGGTCACAAAATAGCATCAACATAAGCACCCAACTTCATGCCACCCTGGAATGCCAAGTCACAGCAGACGTGAAGACAAATAAGTGAATAAATATTGGACAGACAAACCATCCATGAGCAGACATGTTGTTGGCCGTGGCGTTGCAATTTCCCTGGATAATCGTATTGGAATCAGCAACGGATGTTACCAACCAAAAGATATGTGGTCGGAAGTGTTTCGTAAAGCTTCATTAGTTCTATCCCGAATGGGCAAATATTAAAGGATTGTTGGCGGAAATGTTGTGGGTTTAGCTGTTCCACCCAAAGGACACGAGTGAAATTATCTGAATATAGGAGTATATCTGAGTATAGGAGAAGTTATTGAAATAAAAGTAAACTTCATATATATTTTTGTAAAATAATAAGGATAATTTTCAAACCTTAAAAAATATTTTATTTAGAAACACGATTTGAGTACACCTAATAAACACACTAATCCGCAATGCCGTAGAAATAAATGATTATGAAGAACAAAAACTAAAATTATAAAATCTGGAGTGAATAAATTAATCGAATAATTCCACAGCTAAAGCTCCTCTGAAAACTATTTTTAAATCGATTATCTTCATAACAGAGTCCCTTATAATCGATTTTTCAACCAGAAACCGACCTACCATTTGTCCAGTCAACTTTCAAACAACTAAAACTGCAGTTTTAAATATTTTCCACTGAAAAATGTTTTCCATTGTTTTCAAGCAATTACATAAAACGATCGTAGTCCGACACTACGACCATCCACGACTAACACCTCACCTCACTGGATGCTATCTATGGTAATTCAATGCCGTCATATTCCTTGCACAGAAAAACAACATTAATCTGGCCAAGTGATTATTGTCATTGGACGTTGGCAATAAAAACCAAATTCTCGTAAATGCTGATGTTTCACATGAATTTGAACTGGGCACCAGAAGGCCGGGAAAGGCAGCTGGTTGTGTGCTACCTGGATACAGGCCACCTATCTATGGCTGGCTCAGCCTTTCATCCATCCAACCAGCCAGCCAGTAGAACTCATCGCTTTCAATCAAGCAACCACTCACTCCTACCAGGGAATGTGACGGTTGGTGTGGCAGTAGAAACAAATAAATTCTTGATATTAAACTTGCAGCGAGGTAAAGACCAAACGGAGAAAGGCAACGGTTATAAAATGCAGGATAACACCTAGCAGTAGCTCGCTTTCAAAGATTGTTGCCATAGCTATGAACCATGAATAGAAGAAATGCCACAAAGACAGACAAATCGAATGACTGTCTCTGTGACTCAGATGCGGCAACAATTGGTGCCCTCTTAATAATAGTTTTTCGCCAACTGTGGTGGCTCGGTCGACGAATGGTTGGATGGATGAATGCTGCTGCTGATGATGGCTATGATGACGATGATGCTACTGATGGTGTAATAAATATAAATGGCCAAACACACACAGACACACATACAAACAAGCAATTCGTATTTAATTCGTTTTCTCTAAAGATTTATTAACAAGTTTTCTATTTCCATCTTTCGCTCTACTTTACTTTACATTCGCACACATAGTCAGGACAGGGAATGGTTATTCCACATTAACTACAATTACAAAAACTACAACATTATGGACAAACTTAACAAATTCTACTAATCGGTGTCCCGAGGGTACTGCGGGACGATGGGTTGGTTATTTACCAAATTTGATATTGAGCCGAATAGCCGAAGGGCTGGTTAACAACAAAGTACTGTTGAGCGGAGGCGGGGAAGGCAGCAGCAAAAGGTACAGCAGATACGGGAACAGCGGGAGCGGCAGCAGCAGCAACTACTGGAGCTGGGGCAGCGGCAACCAAACGTTGAGATTTCTGGGACTTCTTCTTCTTTTGGGTCAAACGAGAGGGGGCAATCTTCTTGTTGGACTTCTTGCGGCTGGTGAGGCGTTCAGCTTCGAGTTCGGATGGTTGGAATTCTTCGGCATCGGGATTGGGAGCGAACTCAATGGGCGCGTCTTCAGAGGGCAACACATCGGGTGAGGATACATCGGCTTCTGGTGGGCCATATACCTCATCGGGGGGACCGTAAACTTCATCGGGCTGGTGGCCCTCTTCGAAAGCTACTTCCGGTTTCAATTCCTCAGCAGTGGGGTAAGGAGTGACAGGTTCTTCTTGGCGGGCGAATTTACGTCTTGGTGCCAAGCGCAAGGGTTGTTTCTGCTTTTGCTGTTGTAATCTTCTTACCTGACTCAATTTCGACTTGGGTGCCTCAGCACTGCAGGCCACAATGGCCAAAGCCAAGACGAGGAGGGAGATTTTCAACAAGTTTGCCATTTCGTTGGGTTTGTAGAGTTCAGTAGTAACTTCTTAAGTTGCTTCCAATCGTACAATGATGTCAACTCAACCGATGTCCGACACTTTTATACGGGCCGATGCGTGGTTCTAGCCAATTGGAAATTCATGCGTTATTGATTTGGGGAAGTATATTTTTTCGGCGCAACTCGTTTCGTTTTGTTCTGTTTCATATGAGAATAGTTATTGGCGATCATCGAACATTCGTTCATAATGCTCTGAAAATTAATTATGCTATTAAATTATGTAGTGCGACACTTTGGTTTCAATGTCTGCGCCGTATGAATACCAAGTAGCCAGCTACTGTCAATAGTACGCAGAAGCAGGTGGAAATGACGTTTATTACCCCCAGCGCTGGGGTGTCCAACAAAGCTAAGCGACAAGCAAAGTAAGCGCCACGAACATGAACTTGAAAACGGGCCAAAAATAAATCGCATTAAATAGATAAACAAATCGGATAAAATTACTGGGCAAGTTCAGGGCTGAGGACCACTGCTTGGGCGCACAGTTCAATTCATATCTGTGGGTTAGTAGATCACTGGAATGTTCTGGAATTATTGGAGCTGACTATAATTCCTTCCATCATTGCCAGTCATAGTAATCGAAAAGCCGGCACACCAAGCAGCCCTTGATAATGGCAGTTATGGCCGATTGTAAATCGGTGGTGTCGCTGGTAGTGTTTGTGGTGGTGGGTGATTAAGCTGCTTGCTTCCAACACCAAAACGTATGGTCACGTAAAGCCCATCAGAAATACAATTCAAAGGTGAACACAACAATAATAATAATTTCTGCTCATTTTAAGTGGCATCCAAATAGGGTATGGGTTGGCTTGACTTGGCTTCGCTTGTCATACGGCATGCAGTGTCAGTGTAACCAAAATTCATTTGACATTGGCAAATGCCGGCAAAAATGCTTGCGGTACTAACATAGACTAGCCTAATGTCAAAGTAATCATTCGGTGGAACTATAAAAACCATGGCCTACCACCAACTCAACATCATATCTCCACTTACAACAATCAAGAACACAACACAGCAGTAGCAGCCACATCAACAGCCCAGGAGCAAAAAAACATAACAAAGATGGCCAAGTTCTTTACAATTATCGCAATTATCGGTGTTTCGTTGGCTTTGGTAGCAGCTGAGCCGACTCACTTCAGACAAGCAAAACGTTTGGGAGCTTTGAGGGCACAAAAAACAGTGCGAAAATCAGCACGCCAAGAAGTGGCTCCTTCGCCTGCACCCTACCCACCAGCAGGCGTTACCCCTGAAATTCCCTTTGAACTGCCCACCGAAACTGAACAGCCCTTCGCTCAACCCGACCCCACCTATGGTCCACCCGAAGTAGTTCCCGATGAAACTTACGGCCCACCAGAACCAACTCCCGATGAAACATATGGCCCACCAGAAGCCGATCAGCCAGCCATTACTGAACCCGATCAAACTTATGGCCCACCAGAAACCGAAGAAGAAATTGTAGCCACTCCCGATGAGACTTATGGCCCACCAGAAGCTTCGGAACCAGCCATCACTGAACCCGATCAAACCTATGGCCCACCAGAAACTGCCACCACAGAAGGTCAACCTGCCATCGAAGAGCCTGCTGCCGAGGAAGTCCAACCTGCTGCCGATTCCGAATTGGTCTCGCAAAACATTATCCAGCCCAGACAAAAATTGGTGCGCAGCCGTTCCCGTCCAGCTAAGTTGCGTGCACGTAAATTGCCCGCTGCTCCCCGTGCCAGCATTGTAGAAATTATCCATTCTGAACCGGTTCTCGTTTACACTTTGCATTAAAGGAAAAGTGTTGTAAACTTCAGGTTTACCGTAATGAAATTGTAGAACCAAAATCACTTGGGTGTGTGTATGTGTGTCCCCTACGCACACATGCCCATTTGAGTTTGCTTATTCCAAATACTACAGATTATGCAGTAATTTAGTTAAAATTCATCTCTGTTGAGTTTTGTTAATGAGAGTGTGTGTGTGTGTATTTTGTTTTGTTAAAGTTTTTTTAGTCGTATAATTAAATAATAAACCAAAAAAAAAAAACAAATAAAAATAAACCTCGTCTGAATATAAATTTCAAAATAAAAAAATTGTTTTGTTTTTGCTTTCTAGAGCGAACTGCTACAAAAAAATAGATACAATTTTAGCTTCTGATCAGAATACCATTGTTTCGTAGTCAAGTTAGGACGTCATAACAAATTTCGCAGGAAAATTTTAGTTCAAATTGAAGCAAACTAAGAGGAAGAAACAGGCAGAGTTTTATTGAATTTATATACAACATATAAGATATTTACCATCTTTCAAAATTGCGACATGGAATTGTTTCGATGTAAATTATTATAATTAGAAATAAATATTGGACATAATTACACATAATTTGAGTCTATGTTGAACAAAAAAGGTCTCAGCGAAAAATCTGATACAGGATGTCAGAATTTATAATTATTCCGTGGAAACCTAAGGGGATCCAAAACAATGGAAGCCCACAAATGAAACAAGACTAAAATATCCCCAGTCAGGCATGTAAAAATAACCGCATTTCAAATACCTGGCAACATGTGGCTTTTTCGTTCTTATAACATCAGGAGGACCAACAAAAGAGTTAATCGACGCTTCAATCGGCCTGCTAGGGGAAAAATATATATTCATACATCTCAAAACAGTTAATCTCTGCACATCTTTTAGATCTTTCGGGCGATTTTACAGAATCCATATTTTAAGTTTAAAACAATCCACTAAAAACCATAAATGGATGGTCGTTCCGCTTAAACCTTAATATGAACGTTAACTATTCGGTTACATCTGACAATTTCTTGAGAATCTCGCTGAATATTGACACGAAGTTTTAACAATAATTGCAACCTATAGTTCGACTTCAGAACAAGTCCACATGACCCTTTAGACATTAAATTATCATTACCAAGAACTATGGTCCATGGCCGGATCCAGAACAAAATATTGCAGGTCCACCTGTAGGTCATACTACCAGGACCCATACAATATATACATTTTTCCAAAACGAGTGAATCACTCAAATCCATTCGCCTGGAATTTTACAGAAACAATCTCTGTTTTAAAATGGAAAATATTTAAATGAGAAGAATATGGTTTGGAAATATTTCAAATACTGGAGTAGGGTATCAAACATCTACGAAGTTGCACTTTAAACAAAAATAAACAAAACAAACGTAAACAACATTAAAACCATTTTTATTGCATTGTTAATGGCTATTTGAAACATGAACTTAATATTCTGCAAATGTATGCAATTGCAATTTTTATTTCAAATATTATTTATAGAGTATTTTTATATTTTATTTTGGGAATGGAATTTTAATTTCTATAACTTCATGGCCTTAATCACAACAACAAACCATCTTCACTTCCAGAGAAGAAAGAAGTTCTCCCATAGCATTAATTCCTTTCGTTTCATCACTATAGAATCCAATCCTTGAGCAGATTGTCAATAATTCAAAACACGATCCTATTAATATGACAGTCTGATGTGGAAATTTAATGTTTGTTTTATCGCTAACATTGAAATAACAACAATTAACAGCATTAAGAATAAAGAATAATAACAAAACGATCCAGTCGTAGAGCTATCAAAAAGTGTCAATTATAAACCGTGTCTGTCCGCCAAATATTGTCCGATAAAAAACAAATATTCTATTGATTGGACAAAAATAATGGCAATCATAGATGGACATGGAATATGATGGATACTCGGTCGGGTATTTTTTGTTTTCTATTCTATGAAATAGAAGGCACTTAACGTATTAAAGGCCATGTTAGTCTTCCAGACTCATTCATAAACACTTAGGCACGTTCGAATTCATATTTTGAACGGGGCGACTCGACATCATTAATATGTGCAGCTCGATGACAAATTGTCATTGTGGGTGGGGGTGGGTTATTAACGACAAAAAACAGCCAAGAATATTTGTGTGTGATTTTCAAAATTATAGTCAAAGTCATTTGGACTTAAAATCTGAATTAAAAATAGAATCGTTTATTGATTCATAATTAAAGGCCTATACCAAAAATCGAAAATATTATATTTATATAAAAGAAGCTTCTGGTTTTAATGAAGTCATTATTACCAAATAAGTTGTTACAGAGCAAAGACTTAACAAAAGCCATGGTGGTGTCCAATAATTGTCTGAGAATTTTAATGGCAATTGCCATAGTACTTTCCGCAGAGGCTTTAAATCTAAGGAAATCATCTAGTAGGACAAACAATAGGAAGCTGTTGAGATTGGAAAAGGCACCCTATCCAGCTGCCGGTTTCAAACCGGATATACCCTTTGAGCTACCCACTGAAATTGAAACAACCACCCATGTTAATTTAGAAGATGAAACAACAACAACTGTACTTCCCATTGTCGAAGTTAATGTAACTACCGAGCAAGAGACATTCGTGCCCTCCACCTATTTGCCACCACAACAGCCACAAGATGTCTATGGACCTCCACAACAGCCACAAGATGTCTATGGACCACCACAACAGCCACAAGATACCTATGGCCCACCCAAGGAGGACTCTAACACTGAAATTGAGTCGAACATGGTCAATGGCTCTCCAGAAGTCGAACAGCTGGATGAACAAGAATTTGAAACATTGCCTCAACCCGAGCCGAGGACAAGGAACGGTCGTTTATCCTTTGGTCGCAAATTGAAAAAGCCCATAAAATAACTAAAAGCACACAATTTGTTACAGATTAAATTTAGATCTTGTTGAATTTTTGTTAATAAAAAATAAACAAAGTGTTCACATACACACTCACACACAACCACACAAATGTGCAAACATTTGGATGTATTTGAATTATGGTTAACAAAATATTTATTACGCTTAAGCTACGTTCCAGCAACGCCTCCGCCGCCACCATCACCACCACCAAACGACAACAACTACAACAAAAACACAAAAAAAGTCTTCTGAAATCCAACAACAATAACTCGAATTGTTGCATATATATAGACCATATTTTGTTTTGGTTTTGGTCAAAAACTAGATTCTATATCTGTAAATCTATGGGAGAAATATGTTTCGCACATAGCTGCATTAGTGTGTGTTTGTATGTATGGCACATACAGGCGTACAATTCCTATATTCATTTTTAGACACATATAGAAATTTAAACATACAATGCACCAGCAGCTTGATTCTGCACACACGAACGTTCAAAATTGTGGACAAGTGTTGGGAACTAGAGAAATAAAAAAAAAAAGATTTTTGTAAAACAATTAGAGATGCTAATCCAGTTATATTTTTGAAGAATCTGAAATAAATTCGAAAGGTAGTCTATATTTCATAGATGCTGGTTACACTTTTGAAAGCAACATATATAAATCTGAGCAGATTTTCACAAATTTTAATTGGGTTTGTTCTTCTGCCGAATATATGATAGATGCGATCGAATTAAGTCTAGACGAAGTGTTTAAAGTTTGACATAAATGGGTGAAATTATGAATATGATAAAATTATGCATAAAATACAACCTGTCAGGCTCCTCCGAATTTCGTTATGTCCTTATCGATTACAGTTTTCAAATTTGGAATTTAATCGCATTCGCATCACCCTCATTGACATCTCTATTCTAAAAGCAACAGAGCTCCTTAACAACGGCAACAATAACAACAACACAAATAAAACATTCTGTGGTTTCCAAATAAAATTCTAAATAAACTAGAAAATAAATGATACTCGAAAACAACAAGACAAACATGTCGACCAAACCAAGCCGACAAACCACCAATACCAACACCATCACCGGACTGTGTAACCGCAAAACACAGAGGGGTGCGCCTTGTTGTCGTTGTGTTTCGAAACTAGCGTTATTCTCGCGATGACGATATAGCGTCCGAATATATTCCTATGATTCGTGTGAGTGTTTGTGTGCGTGTGTTCGTTTGTTCGTTTGTTGTGCGAATGGCATTTTTGATTTGAAAGCGCCTAAAAGCGAGCATCATATTGTTTGGTATTTTATTTGCAACAGACGGTAAATAATTCATTGGCCATTGGTAGCTACAACGTTCTCAATAGGGAATATTGAATGCAATATTACAATGACGGTAAGGTGTAGATTGTTGAAGGACAACGAGTTATAAATCGAGAAGTGTTAGGTTTTTACATTAATTGTAATGTGCTGTACAAAAAAAAAATAATACTCATCTATATTTCCCTTGAATACGAGATTTTAAATTCTTCACAAATACATTTACATTCGTTAGTATCATCTGAAATATCCCTTAAATTAAAATGCACAGCATTCGCTGATGTCCTGGCCTACCTACATATATGTTCAGACTGCACTGCATGTTCAACAACTTTCAGGCTGTGTTTTTTAGCAATTTCATGCATTTGCCTGTGTAATATTTTGCCATTTAATTGAATTAAATCTATTGACTTCAATGGCAATATGAAAACAATTACAAATGCACAAAAGTAAATTGAATTTAACAATCCACATCAGTACATAAATTTCAATACTGTTCTGATTTACAAAATGGTAATTGATTAACATGGCATAGCAATAAACAATAATAACAACAACAGCGCCACACATCGTGGCATCCATGGGCAAATATAAAATAAAACATTCACACTCACACACACACCCACATGGAAATATACTAACTTGGTCGACAATATAAAAATTATAATGTTATTACTGATGAAACAGATAAATCAATTAAATGTTTGTATATTTGTTTATACATAAGCGTATGTGTTCATTTGAAGTTAATAGAATTGAAAATGGAAATTGAAATATCAACCCAAAACAATATTCATACATACATATGTATAGCATGCGATAAAAATGTATAGTGGAGATAATTTCCCTCCCAACTGTCGTCTACACAATTAAATTAATCTGGCAACATTGTATTGTGTTTCCGTTTTTAGTAATTTCTCAACCACCACCACCATGCTACCGTTCTAGTTCCCAAGAATACAGGTATTTGCCGACTTTGGCTGTCAGCGTCTTAAGTCTGATGCAATAAAAAAAGTACAAACATCATCAGTTGAGAGAAACGAATGTCAAGGCGAGTGTATGCCTCTGGGTGTGTGCGTGTGTGTTTCGTTTTCTTCGGAAAAGAAACAAGAGCTGAAATTCAAACAACCCCCTTTAAATGAGAGATTTAAGGATTGCCAACGTGCAATTTTAAACATTGAAATGTTGGGAAGAAAATACAAGATGGTCCAAGTTTTCAAATCTTATAATAAAAATATGAAAAAAATACTCCATAGTAATACAATTTTATGTCATACCTACATATACTAGATATTATTTCAATGTATGAATGTAAATATAATGCTCTGATTTTTTTTTATCGAAATAGAAATATGATCGATTTTTTCCAAAACTCGGAAAATTTGAAAAAAAAAATAAAATAGAACTCACCTAAATTTTCGAAATCCTTAACACTGCCACTCTATCTTTGCGACAATGTGGGCATTTTCCATTCATTCTACACAAAACGCGGCAACACTATTCTTTCTCTTTTTTGCCATCAAATATAGCCGAATGGTACACATTTGTTTTTGGCTCTCTTCATTGAAATCTCCCGTTGCGGGTTGGCAGCTGTTGAGTCAGTCAGTTGTTTAGGGCACAACGTGTATCTGCAAGATATTAAATATTCACTCAGCAGTTTTGTACCGACCAAACGAATGTAAAGACCACCAAATACAAGCATTTACCGGCAAAGAATGCCGCGTGTTACCTAAAAAGAAAAACAAATAACATTAAAGGAAAATTCATTAACAAATTATTAAATTACTTTGCAAAAACTAAACCAATTGAAATATATTCTGATATTTACATAATTAAATCATGGAGGAGTTCTTAGAAAACATTGGGTAAGTTCCACTGAGGAAATGACTAGCATGACATTCCCCACCTATACATTTTGTCTATTTTCATTATCTTATGGCCTATAAAATTGGTTATCATAGACAAAAAAATAGTGATTGATGTGAAAAATTAAAAATACCTCACCGCGTTTGTCTCGTGCAGCACTTTTCACCGATTCAAGCAAACAACAACAACAACGCACCACCCAGTCAATACGTAGATATTTTCTTCTATTTATTTTCATAGTAACAGAGAGCACAACCAACAACAGCAACAACATCAGCTGCAGAAGCAGCAATACTTATATACGGCATTTGTTTAATTTTAGTTTGCGTGTTCACATTTCAATTTATTTTTATTGATTTTATTTTCTTTTTTTCTGTTTTGTTTGCTTCGGTTGTAATTTGCGCGACGCCTTTTCTACGTCATGTGGAATGAAACACTACGTTGAGGCATTGTTGGCGCCTCTGTCGCTGACATTACACCGCTCACATGTGACTTACTCTCAAATGAGAATTAATCATGTGTGAAATATGACTCTTGTTAGGCAAATTCTCAGATGTTGATGGGAAGAAGAGGAATGTAATTGGCGGCAATGTTGTTGTTGCAAATATGCCACACTAGAGTTGACACTCTTCCATAATGGGCTATACACGAATTGGCGTTTGTATGTTTTGATGGAAATTGTTTTGAAAACACCCTTTTTTATGAAATTGTATTTAAAATAATTGAAATATTTAATTGATTGTGGGCAATAATTGGGAAGACCCAGTTGGCTATGATGTTTAAAGTTGACATGAATTACAATTAATGAATCTGAAAGGGTTAAATAAAAGTGTTTGTTTGTGTGTGTCTGTCGCACATATCGGGTAATGAGAGAACTCATTTGACAATAATTCGATTTGACAATTTACACCAGGAACAGTATTCATTTAGGCGTTAAAGCAATCATACAATTTCAAAATGCATTTCCCGTCGATAGATATTACACAGGTGATGACATCTAAGTAGAATGTGTACATTGTCATATCCTTTGAATTGTGAAATATGCTGTCAAAATAATGTCAATGTGAACAGTATCATATACACCGATACCTGTTTCAAAATGCAATAAACATTTCCTTAAATGTATAAAATGGTTATAATTGTTTTCGTTTTCAGTAGGAAAGAACCCCATTCAAAATCGGATAAGGATACGCAGTTAAAAAAAAAATAACTGAAACTAATAATTAAAAGAAAAAAATGGCCAAACAGATTAAAAAAAGATAAGCAAAAAAAAAAAGCCAAATTATGATTGGCTGTTGTATTGAGTTTAAAAGAATTGCCATCTAGTTTTGATATTTTTATAAGATGTCCGTTATTTTTATTTATTTTTTTTTTTTAATTTGCACTTTCCCTAGTTTTGTTATGAAAAAATTGGCATGTGTTTATAGTACGTTTACATTGTACCGGATTTCGTTATCCCAGTGGGTTTCCAATGTCAATTCCATTGTATACATGCCAAATAGATACTCATAGAGTAGGTTAACCCGGAAAAAGTTTTAATGTAAATGTCGTCACAAAATTTTGAAATTAAAAATTTTAAAGATACACAATCACAAAACATTAGCGGTAAATAAATATTTCATAAACATTCAGTGGTTATCGGTTATTTAAAACCACATTTTACACTAACCACTGACAACGAAAGCTTTCGACATACAACCCTAAACATCAATATCATATTCACCAGTGTAAAACTGAGCTGAGCTTTATTGTTTCCCTCTCAGTTTGCCATGGTGAGTTCAGAAATTTTAACGATTTTTGATTGAATTGGTATTTAAGTAAAATTTTCACAACTTTTCAATTCAGTACTTTCTTAGAGCGGTCATCGTGGCCATCAAGTTTTGCCAAAAAATAAAATAAATATAAAATTGTGAACTGAAATAGAAAAATAAAAAAAATATAAAAAGGTACAAATAAAGTGTTTTCGGCATGTTTTACATTACGTTAATGACTGAAAATGCTGAGCAGACAATTTCTATTTAACATGACTCGATTTCGATCATTACAAATGGATCAAAATAATGAAATGTGGGTTATATTTCTGTGCGTCAGATCAAAAGAGTATTTCCCCGCGTCTATTTTTGATTGCTTCTTTATTGGTGTTTTCATTTCGCCTATTAACAACAATGTGTCAATTAATTGCAGTTCTGTTTAAAGATTCTTTTGAAGCTGTAAAGCCATAATTAAGCCACAAATACATCTTGTGATCGTACCAAGCAGCGCCTTAATATACTTTAACTTAGCGGCAATGTTTCACTCTTTAACTAATAAAAATTATCTGAAAGATATAAATTACGTGCTAATATGCGATTTCATTGGGTCACCTAGAGAAACCGCAACAAAACACGATTATTCTGATCGTCGTAATGGGGGTTTCACTCAATACCATTTCATCATAACACGTTTCATTTATTTATTTACTTACATATTTTTGTTCTAGGATGCCATTTCCCGGTTTCAAAAGCATATACGAGACGCTAACTCGGAAGAAACCCATTGAGGATTCGACCGAATCAAAATTGGCCAAAGTTTTGTCGGCCTTCGATCTCACAACATTGGGCATTGGTTCCACATTGGGTGTCGGTGTCTATGTATTGGCCGGTCAGGTCTCAAAGATTTATGCAGGTCCTGCTGTGATATTCAGTTTTCTTATTGCTGCTATAGCGTCCATATTTGCCGGTCTGTGTTATGCCGAGTTTGGTGCACGTGTACCCAGAGCTGGATCGGCTTATGTTTACAGCTATGTTACAATTGGCGAGTTCGTTGCATTCATCATTGGCTGGAATTTGATATTGGAATATGCAATAGGTATGTACATATGAAGCATAATGGTGTAGTGTTGAACATTTTGATGTCTAAAAGAACAGGGTCTGGAATGAAGCGACGGTCAAACAACAGACGCTCAGATTAAATTACTGGTGCCTTTACAAATGATCAGCATTTAATTGAGTTGATTGATTTATATTCGTTTGGCCGCATGTACACACATACACTGTTCTAATTGATCATTAAAGAACGCGAAGTTCGGCAGAAATGCCAAACAGTTTACGAATTTTTCAAATACCTAAACATGTGGAATTCAATGCCATTGCTTCGTTTTAGGTTCGGCCAGTGTGGTGAAGGGCTTAAGCTCATATTTGGATAACTTATGTGATCATGCCATGGAGAATTTCTTGGGCACCCATTTGCCCATGAATGTTGAGGGTTTGAATCATTATCCGGATATATTTGCATTCGGTGTAACCATCATATTCGCTTGGGCTATTGCGATTGGCGCCAAGGAGTCGACCAGGCTTAATACTGCTTTCACACTTTTAAATCTCAGTGTGGTACTGTTTGTTATTGTAGCCGGTTTATTCAAAGGTAAGTTACGTGTAATGATCACCTCTGAAGCTAAACTCGGTGTAATATGTAATACATTTGTAAAGATATTAGCTCCTCGATATTGCAAACATGCACTCATATGTTTATCTTTGTTTCAGTTTCCACCAAAAATTGGGCTATACCCAAGGAAGAAGTTCCCGCTGGATATGGCGAAGGCGGCTTTGCCCCATATGGATTTGCTGGTATAATAAGAGGAGCTGCCATTTGCTTTTACGGCTTTATTGGTTTCGATTGCATCGCCACTGCCGGTGAAGAAGCTAAGAACCCAAAGAAATCCATACCCTTTGCTGTTATCACTTCCTTGGCCATGGTATTTTTGGCCTACTTTGGCATTTCCACCGTCCTAACAATGATGCTGCCGTACTACGAACAAGATGAAAGTGCGCCCTTGGTGCATGTTTTCAGCATTTACGGCTGGACAGTGGCAAAATATGTGGTGTCGTTGGGCGCCATATGTGCCATGTGCACAAGTTTAATGGGTTCAATGTTTCCGCTACCACGTATTGTATACGCCATGGCCACAGACGGCTTGTTATTCAAATTTATGGCTGAAATTAGTTCCAAACACAAGACTCCACTGAACAGTACTCTGCTGACGGGATTCTTAACCGGTGCCTTTGCTGCCATCTTCAATTTGAAACAATTAATGAATATGATGTCAATTGGTACATTTTTGGCCTACTCCATGGTGGCGGCTTGTGTGTTGATTTTGCGCTATGAATGCGACGATAGACGTGACAGTCGTCATATGAGCAACGGTCGAGCTTTAATGGATCAGAACGATTCGGATTGTGGATTCCTAAAATTACTGTTCAACAGCTCTAAATCGATTGTGCCCACGAAGAAAACAGCACGCATCGTTACGGTTATGATTTGTTTATATGGTAAGTGCTCCATTAATAAAATGTCATGGACGAGTAAGGTAAATCAATTGTCTATATTTCTTTGCAGTTCTCCAGTGTGTTTTACTGACGCAAGTATTATTGCCATTCGAAGAAAACTTCACCAGTATTACAATCGTTGATACTACCAAACTCGGCCTGAGTGTTGCTTTCTTATTCGTAACATTATTCATCATTTCTCGCCAACCTGTATCCTCCTCTTCATTGGCCTTTAAAGTCCCCTTTGTACCATGGGTGCCTGGTTTCTCCTTGTTAATTAACATCTATCTCATGATTAAGCTGGACATAATGACGTGGGTGCGTTTTAGCATTTGGATTGCTATCGGTCTGATGATATTCTTTGGCTACAGTGTGCGTAATAGTCGTATGCGTCACAGAGAAATGAAGTGCTTGGCCGATTCAGAGTCCAGGGAAAGAAGTGAAGTTGATTCAATATCATCGCTGCATCATGATGAACGTTTTAGCACACAGGTGCCGCTAATGGTTATGCATACTGCAAGTTAATATGAGCATATTAATGATATTTTGAGAATTCTGGGAGGTATTCCTTCTATTCCTGTAATTTCTCATATTCGTCTCTCATTTGACTTTTAAGAAATGTCAAAATTGTACTTAACCTGCAAGGAATTGAATATTTTTCTTAAAGCACTATATATATTAATTCGTATGTAAGGAATTGAATATTTTTAAATTTTGTTGTTCGACAAAACGAAATTAGTTTTTAATTTAATAATAATTATTATATAAAATAAGTTGCAAAATAAAAAGTATACAATTTGTATTATTAAATGTCGAGCTGTCTAACGTTTTGTTTGTTTATAAGAGATAAGGTAAAGTATAAAAGTGTTAAGGCAATATATGCGCATAATTCCAATACAACAGCCAATCAGCAGTTAGCATTGCTGATTATTATTTTATTGGGTAAAAGGTGTTTAAAGAGATAAACACATTCTATTGTGAGTTCTCTTATATTTGAATGAATGTTTTCCTAGTTTTCTTTGGTTGGTTTGTACACGGGACTTTGAGTAGCAACGGTACATTTAGTTGTTTCCGAACAATATGCTCAAGAAGATGATTTTTTAATAAAAACTAATCAACTCGGTAGTCCCGATCAAAACTATACATGCTCCTGTATATATAGGGGAGACTGGGGCACCTTCGGCAATCGCGTTTTCGTAAGTATTTCGTGTATAAAACTTTTTAAATTTTTAAGACAATATTATTAAAAAGTGGTTAACTACGATGTGTATTATTATAGAAATATTTAAAAATATAATGTTTTTACAAAACTGATCGAAAAAAATTAAAAAAACTATAAAAAAATACATTCGGGGTACATTCGGCATTTTAAAGTGGGGCACATTCGGCCATATACAGATTGTGCAATATTATTTCCTTAAAATGTTTTTGAGTTTGTCTTGCAAACTAATCCTTTAATATGGTTCGAAATTGCATATATAAGATTAAAACGTGAAAATGCGGTAGAAAGAAAACCCCTATTTCTGATGGTGTGTGCGACCTTGAGATGTAAACGTCCGCCGCTATAAAATAAAGTCCTATAATTCAAAAATTTTGTGGCGTATTAAAACCAAATAGAGCCTTTAGAGGATCAGAATTTCAACCAGACTCATAGCGATGACAATTGCCCGGCTATGACTATGGTGCCGAATGTGCCCCATCAAATGCCGAAGCTACCCCGGGTTGGGGCACATTCGGCGAATTTGACTTTAAAAAATTTTTTAACTAATACTATTTATTTATATATTTTTGGTACTGTTTTTTATAATTAAGTGTCAGAGGACAATAATCAGCCATAAAGTTGTTATATATGTTGAATAAGTACTGAGATATAGAGCTCTAAAAAAAGTGCCGAAGGTGCCCCAGTCTCCCCTATACAATTTTCATTTTGTGGGAGAATTAGTTCCCTGGTGGTATTCAAGTATTTCAGTGCCGCTGTAGTATATATATTTTTTGGATTACTAAAGCATACTTTTAGACAGTGAAATGTTGTATATCTATTTTCATTTTGTGGTGAATTTGGCTGTTTTAAATGAATCTTGTATTGCATAGTTTTAGGATGCAAGATGTAATCAACAGTGGACATCGAACAGACAGAAAAGAAACATTTAGAAGATACATTGAATCCTATCAGAAAAAAATCCATTTAAGACACATACCCTTCCAAAATTACGATTACGAAAATTACGATCAATTCCAATCTTTTACAGTGAGTGTAACCGTTTTTTAGTCGTTGTTTTTAAAATACAGACAAATTGAGTGAAATCAGATACATTGTTGTTAAGATGAAAATTCCAATAAGTGTCTTCTCTTTGTTCAATAGGCCTAAACGAATAGTTCTACTGTATTGAAAATATATTTACAATTTATTAGGCTACCATTGTATTTTAATTTGTGTTAACAACATGACTAGCGATTAGAACTTTTAATCAAAATTTAAGAAAATAGAGACAATGCTGTTCGGCAATAAGGTTTCAAGTGATAAGAGTGTAATGTAGCAAAGATATCTAATCTTGGCCAATCGTTGTTGACTGTTGTTGCTATCACTGCGAGATAAACTCTGTCGAATGCCAAAACTGATTTCAAAATAAGAACTAAGGTAGATATCGTTTCATAATTATAAAATAAAAAATGAAAATAATATTGTAGCCAAGTAAGAAATCACCCTTTTGAGTATAATTAATAGAATAGAAGTTTTTGCAATATTGAATTTTAAACGTATATTTAATTACAATAATATACGAATAAAAATATATCTTTTTCTAAGCGTTCAAATATTTCATTCATAAAATTGAAACATTCATTGTGGAATTTTTCTTCAATCGATTTTGTACAAAAATGTATTTTTGATTCAGAAAAACTCAAGAAAATATTGATATTAATTTTTAATAGGGATTCTCAACTTGTTTCCTATCGAAATTTATTAAAACCGGATGCAGGAGTTGTTGTTATGTTAAGCTTCTTCCTTTTTAAATAATATCCTCCTTAGATATTAATCGAGAAATACATACACATGTATGTATGCGTCAGTATAACAACACCAGGCATTAATCATAAAATCTGCTATATTTTCAAAATAAAAAAAAAACGTTTAACATGTGACGTCTGAATCGCATTTTTTGCATTATCGAAATTTTTAAAAATTCTACACACACCACTTTTGTTGGACGTAATTTCTGCTTTGCGATGTATGTATGTATGTGCATGTTGATGATTACCCGATTAAATACATCAACAACACAAACAACAAAACGCTATAACAATATTTTAAAATAATTGCCCGAATTATTTGAGGAGTATCATCAACCGATCAGGTATGCGACTACGTTTGTAGGTTTGTATTAACTAGAATGAATATCGGTCGGTGTGTATGTGTGTTTATCTGTTCGTTTGTTTGTTGACACTTGTTTTTCTTTGTACTTCGTTGTTATTATTATTTTTGTAGACGGTTGTTGTTGTTGCCATTGCCACTTTTATTTAGGCATTTCTCGGGCCAGAGCACAGCCAGCAAGCGAGCAGTCGTTGGCGGCTATCTTGCCAGGTACTTGATGCCGGCAGTAACAATTAGTAAATTAGTCTTATTTCAGAATTGAAAACAATTGGAACAGTGTTGAATGAGAACGCTAGTATAAGACCGCGAACGTATCTGTCTGTGTGGCTTTTATTTTGCTCTCGGTGCGATAATAACAGCAAGGCAAAACAATCAACTGAACTTGCAATAGAAAGATACGCGATAGAGAGAGCGACAGTGAAAGAGAACGTGTGGATGCGTGTGTGAGAGGTACTTCGTAACGATTTGTTTACATAGCCGTGTTAGTAGATACGATCCCAACGAAGAAACCATCAGCAATAACAACAAATAAATAGTATTATGACACAGCCTGTCCGCATCCTTATCAGTGACAACGGCAGTATCATGTTCATCTAAAATTTGGATGTTTAAGTCCATTGTTTTTTGCCAATAACATGGAAATTTAAAAAAATGCAACAAAATCAAATTGAATTAAAAGAGAATACAAAAAAACGACAAATGAAAAACAATAATCAATTTACTTTATTGGTTGCATGTTTGAAATTGAAAGTGACCGATCGTCAATAATTCAGGCGTATAAATAACTTATGGTCGAGTTATAGATATTTATTAATGACGTTGTAGAAATTGTGTTGTATGTGTGTCTGCAACCGGGGTCTGCTAATGAAATTTGAAAATGCATTTTATTTTGTAATATCGCGAATGGAATATGTAGCAGACAAATTGTGTTTTTTATTATTTACATCGAAAGAAAAACATATGTTGTTATTAACCCTAAGGAATTTACAAATTATTCATTTATACTGCGGTGCATTAATATATGTACAAGTTTTTAAAAACTATGAATTAAAATATGACATAAAATGTAAAGTAAAATATGACTGAGAAAATGTAATTGCTGCCAGATTTAGCATACAAGAAAATTATAGATGCAGTATCGAATATTTAAAATCACCGAAATCGAAAGTTACATTCCATGGAGGTTCATTGAGAGAAGCATACATTTACAGAACCATAAATTCACGGATTAAAATGTCTATAATATGAAATTATAGAAGCCATTTGATAGAAGTCAATACTTAATTTTTTTTTAATTTATAATTTTATAAACAAATAGGAACAGAATTATGAAAGGAAGTTTAAAACTTAAGTATTTTTTTATGGTATTAACAATTTTAAATACCGTAAAATAGGTTCCACAATTTCAGGGTCATATAAACATTTTGATCAAGAGAGACAAAGTTGAATATATTCATTATATATGAAGGTTTTATTTGAAATAATCTAAAATTTTAACGCAGTACTTATTTTATTTACCAGCCGTGTAATTACATATTTACGTATTTTCGTACAAGTTTAAAACAGCAGCCGAATACGAATATTTCCAATAAGAGATAGCCTCACTTGTTTTCGGTGTTACGGAAAGAAAACTGATTTCCTCAGACTAAAATGTCATACGACAGTTAAATATTCTCTGTCTCCCACAACCATATAAAGAGAGAAACCCGTAGATTTTTTTTAATATTCTTATCTCTGTAGTAGTATAACGTCTCAGTTATATATTGTTGGTGTTGCTGCTGTTTTTGTTGTTGTTGATGTTATATTCTTATCAGTATCATTGAGATACATTTATTGTCTTTCAAATGATGAGTTCCTCTCGTTGTCATATCTTTTTACATTTATTTAATACGTGTGTGTGCGAATGTGTGTGCGTGTGTCTGCCGTGTTGTTTGACATTTTTGCAAATATTTTTATTTTTCTTTTTCATTTTTTTATTTTTTTTTGCCTGCACTTCACTGAATGTCGTTGATGGCTTCTACTTAGAAGAAAATGATGAACCGTAGAATGTCGATCAGTTTAAACGCTCTGTGAACGTTGAGCTAAGCGGTTAAGGGGTGCTTAAAACAACAACGTCTATTTGTCCGTGTAACGTGTGAATAAAATTTAAATGAAACACAAAATAAAATAATTATAAATACAAGAGTTTGGAATTGAAGAAAAAGAACAAATTTTATATTTTTTGTTATTACAAAAAAATATCAGAAAAATTGTTTGAAACAACATTAGCATAATCGTTGTGAGAAATTCGTTGCCATTATTAAGGTGAGTCAATCTGAAAACAATAACAGAAAATATGAATTTTGTTTACATTTCATTTGCTATTTAATTTCCTCTATATTGCTGCTCCATAAATAAAAAAAATCTTATCTTTATTTGTTAAAAATAGTTAATGGTTTTTTATATACTCGCATATAAAATTAGGTGAGTTGTTTTGTGGGTACCAACTGTCACACGCTTTTCCATTATAAAGATTTATTGTTTTCTTTTTCACTTTCTATTCACAATGCAAGTTCAACTGTGGCAATGGACGTTATTTGTATTGAAAATTAAAATTCTAGAATTGCATGTCCCATATATAAATAACGGTCAATTCTTATCGTAAAATTGTTACAGCATCATTTAATTGTAATTGTAATATTTTACTTGGACTTCTTGTTGACTTTTGTTACTAGTTTTAGTATACAAAGTAGTTACTTTGTAGTGTAAATATCGGACAGTGAATGTGAAAACTTTTTTCCAAAATATTATTTTTGTGTGTTCAACGCAATGTATTTAAACACTGAAAACCAGCATGAATAGATCAAAATCGTTAACATTGAGAATATATAAAGATGGAGTACTTCGATTTCATATCCAAAATAAATTGAAATGAAGATATCTTACCCAAAATAAATTTATCAAGCAATATGGAATGTAAAGGAGTTTGGGTGAGCTTATTCTTCACATTACACATTGGATGTTTTGGAATTAATATTCCATCACCCATGTCAAAAGAAAAGTCAAAAGAACAGCATATATTATATTAAATAACAATTTTTCAAGCGAAATGGGGCGCTATAAGACATAACGTATCGTTAAAACCAAAGTCGTTATAAACGATTTCGATTATATATCCCCAAATATTACAATTCCTTTTCTCGAACTGCAATTAAATACTATTTTTATTATAAAGCAAAAATTGTTATTGTAGTTAAAAAATCTAAGAATCTATATGGAACACACATTTTTACATAATTATATAAATTTTGGGTTATTACACTATTTTCTTTGAAAAATATAAATTTGACTATATTTCTGTAGGTTCAATATAATCCAAATGTAGGACAAACCTTCCAAATATTCGAAATATTAAAGGAGAAGAACATGCTTTATTGGTTGGATATTAAATTATTTATCACAATTTGTTGTTGTTTACTTCAACAAAATAAGTTGTTTATTTTTCTTAAATTTTTTGTGGGTAGTAAACATTACCTAGACATACATTTCTTATCATTAAAAAGAAATTCTTAACCCTGTAGTTGTACATGAATTTTTTTGTGAACTTATATCCCATGATTAATATAAAAAAATAAAAAAGGCGTTCGATATATACCACAATTTTGCCAGTTTGTGTTTTATCTTAGACTGTTCAGTTATTATTCGATTCGCTAAAAGCCAAACAGGTTGGTCATTGAACTTATTCTCTGCAAATGAAATGCACATCCGTGGTCATAGCAACCCAACATAACTGATATTAAAAGTAGGAGTTTTTTATTATTGTGAGGCTATGCTCCAAATTCACGCCTGAAAAAGAAAACCAATCTTTAAATAGAATATTTTATTCCTTTTGAGAGATAATCCGCTGTACATACTTTAAAGGTTCAATGTTCATTTACGAGCAAAACGCTGCAGCATCAACATATGCACCACTTCAGATGCAAATCGACGGCGTCAACTTCTGACATGTTTCGGTGGCTTTGTGATTATATGGCCCCCACAATGAATCAATCGGCAGCGTCTAATTCTATACTGAAAGTGGAACACAATGTCTGAAAATGGCTTAGATTCAAAAATGATTTTTATAAAACGACGTAGATTTTTTATGAGCATTTGTGACCGATCGAAACTGCTGATTGTAGGCGGCATTGAGCAATGCTTTGCTTTGCATTGCAATCGCAGCAGCAGCGTTCTTGGTCCATAAACCAGTTTCAGTTAGTTTACGAAGGATTTTTTCTAAGATAAGACGTTTTGTCTTGTGGCCATGGACGGAGTTAAAACATCAAGACTTTAGTGTGACTAGAATAAACTAGAATTGAGGGAAAAGCCACACCCATTCCCTTTCTGGCTTACAATTAAACTCTAATGACTTATCCAAATAATTATTCTGAAAACTAAAGAAACTTCCTTCGCAATCACATATTTTAAAATTCCCGCCCATCCCCCAATTTTTTATTAAAATTTTAACTTTAACAATGTATGGAGAAGTGTCATAATTTCATTCTCAGAGTTTATCTGTGGGCAACCCCATACATAGTATAAATTTTGAAAATAAATTCGAACTGAAATTGATATGACAAATTTGATGACATGCATTTAGTCTTTGTTTTAAACAAATCCATTTTAATATATTTTTATATTTTTTTCCTTTCAGTTGGATTACTAAAGTCGATACCACAACAACAAAATGGTGCAACAGCCTTCATATTGGAAAGTTTTAACACGTCGGAAAACCTTGTCCCAGGAAAGTGGGGATGGCGAAGGAAAACTTAATCGTGTCCTGGGTCTATATGACCTCACTGCCTTGGGTGTGGGATCCACTTTGGGCGCTGGTGTCTATGTGCTAGCTGGACAAATTGCCAAAGATCAAGCTGGACCCTCAGTAATACTTTCATTTGCAATAGCCGCTCTGGCGTCACTCTTGGCCGGTAATTAAATACAACCCTCAGCAGTTGAGCTCATAAATTGCATATTTGTGGAGCTTTCAATGTGGTTTTATCGCTCATTAATATGGATTACAATTTCATTGTCTGTTATTGTTCCCTTTTCTCTTCCACCTCATTACCCCACCAGGTGTCTGTTATGCTGAATTCGGTGCCCGTGTACCCAAAGCCGGCTCAGCGTATGTCTACAGCTATGTATGCATTGGGGAGTTTGCTGCTTTTGTCATTGGCTGGAATCTGATATTGGAATACATGATCGGCACAGCGGCAGTGTGTCGCGGCATTAGCTTGTATCTGGACACATTAATCAATGACACCTTGAAAACCACTTTCGCCGAAATATCACCAATGAATGCCACATTTCTGGCAAGTTATTTTGATTTCTTTGCATTCGGTTTGGTGGTGGTGTTTGGAGGTAGGCCTCGTAAATCAAAATTATTTAAAAAGTTAGTCTAAATCCTTTGCTTTTTTTTACAGTGGCCCTTGCTTTCGGTGTGGAGACGTCAGCAATTGCCAACAACTTTTGCACTTGCCTCAATTTATTCATTTTGGTTTTTGTCATTGTTGCTGGAGCCATCAAATGTGAGTATAGAAAGATATACTGACAAATTAAGTAGATGTCTGATTTTATCGGCAGAGGCTATCTATGTTTGGCTACACTGTGACTTTGAAGTCCTGGGGCAGTCAATTTATGTATAACATATTTTTTCTCAATATGTGTAAAATCTCTCCAAAAATATAAGACATTGCCACCAGCGTATTTGTACAAGATAAAATTTCATTTGAAATACTAAAACAAGTTCGCTTTTTAATAGCAACATGGTCCAACTGGACTATCGATCCTAGCACGGTAAATACCACAAGTTTACCCGAAGGCACCGATCTTGGTCTGGGCGGTTTCTTTCCCTTTGGATTTACCGGCACCCTAAAAGGAGCTGCAACCTGCTTCTTTGGCTTTGTCGGTTTCGATTGTATAGCCACAACCGGTGAAGAAGTCCGAAATCCTCGCAAAAACATTCCACGTTCCCTAATGCTGTCGTTGCTGGTGATATTCCTTTGCTATTTTGGTGTTTCGACTGTCCTAACCCTCATGGTGCCCTATTATCTACAAGATGCCAACGCTCCACTGCCCAGTGCCTTTAAAGAAGTTGGTTGGAATTTTGCCATGTGGATTGTATCGGTCGGTGGTTTGGTTGGTCTACTCGCCAGTTTATTCGGAGCTCTGTTTCCACTGCCACGCGTAATGTATTCCATGGCCCAGGATGGTCTGCTGTTTCGTTTCTTGGGACGTATACATCCCCGCTATAGAGTGCCGGTGATTGGCTCAATCTTTGCAGCAATATTAACCGGTGAGTTAAATTTATGAGACTTTGTTGTTTCCCTTTTTAACCGTTCTTCTAAATTACAGCTTTGATTGCCGGCTTATTTGATTTGGCCCAATTGGTAAATCTTCTATCTATTGGTACTCTATTGGCTTACAGTGTGGTGGCCATATCCATTACAATTTTGCGTTACATGGACAATTCTGAGACCTTTGGCAATCATGAAACAATCGCAGAAAATGGTCATGCCAACGGCAGTGCCAATGGAAATGGCCACAGTGTTTCCGAGCATTCGCTGTTAACCTCTAAAGGAGAACGAAACACTTTCAAGACAGTATTATTGCAGATATTCAATTGTCGCCGGGTTGATGTTCCTAATGCACTTACCACCCGAATTGTGGGTAGCCTAATTACCGTATTTTGTAAGTATTTTAAAATACCAAATGCATTGGAGACCCCTTTTCAACTATTGTCGGTCCACCTTTAATTTTAGGTGTCCTCTCCATGGGCATTGGTCTGATTTTTATGCAGGCCTATGATGCCTTGATCAACAATCAGCTTTGGGTTTTAGGTCTGCTAATAGCTCTGGTAATACTGACAGTGCTGGTGCTTATTGCGATATGTCTACAACCTCGAGAGGCCTATGCCCGAGTATTTAGAGTACCTCTTGTGCCCTTGGTGCCAGCCATAAGCATTTTCATCAACATCTATTTAATGTTACAGCTGGACGTAATGACCTGGATACGATTTGGCGTGTGGATGGCCATTGGTAAGTGATGTATACATTCGAAGGAATTCATTCCATTCGAATGAAGATGACTTCATTCATTCATTCGCTAGAATTGGCATGACACACACATCATCCAACTAATCCCACCTGATTGCACGCTCGCTTTTTCTCTTTCTGGTATCTCGTAGTCTACTAATCTGGATAACATTATTGTCACACTAGGTATTCCTATGTTTATTGCATGTTGGTGCATGTATGATATAAAAAATCCGGCCAAAAGGCACCCCGAACGTTTAGAATTCGAGAAACTGCTGAAATCCAGTCGGGGCAGTGCAGGCATAGCTGACAATTTCAAGGCCGTGTCAAATGCCTCCACCGCCACCACGGTAGTGATGCAGCAAAACGAACGTTCCGTCAAGAGTTTAGACGAAATCATGGACATGAATGAGGTCAGCGATGACCTTATGGCTGTCAAGCAGCCCAACGGCCAAATAAATTATGTAGAAGATACAAAAAGTGACAAGTCCCACGGCTCGGGTCAACAGGGCAAAGAACCAGCCGAAACAACAAATTCCATATCAGTTCCTAAGTTGGAATCGGCGACCACAACAACCGAAGAGGAGAACTCAGTTATAGCCATGCTGGACGATGTCCTACAAACGGAGGAGGATGGTCTATACGATACTCCCTTCTACGATCGTAAAATTAGTGTGGACTCCGAAATGGTGCCCAGTGTCATAAGAAGTACCACCGTAGCTACGGTACACAGCAGCAGCAGTGGTAGTTCTGACATTGCAGAGGGTACAGAGGGTAACCAAACACCTCCCAGTGTAGATTCCGGAATACAAGAAAATTACCTGGAGAAACAGAAGGTTGCCATGGAATTGGTAGAGGAAATTCTTAACAGTCCTCGGTTGTGGGCGGCCTTGGAGAAACATCAAGAGGAACAGAAACAAAGGCAATTGGCCACTGCGGCTGCTGAACAACATAATACAGTAGCTTCGCCCGACGCAGAGAATTCTATTTCCCCTGAACAACGCACCAAATCTATGGAGTCCTTACTGTCACTGGCCTCCGTTGAAGATCCTTTACATTCGGAGAAATTTCGCAATAAATTAAGTCAATTGATCATGAAACCACCCGAACCGACGAAACCCCTTAAAGAAGCCGCGAATCCCGACGACAACACAACTGTTCGACCAAAACTCAAGCATTCCAAAAGCGAAGCTGATGTAAGAAAATTAGTTTTAAAGGCCATAGAAGGCTGCGACATCGACATAGATAATGACCCAAAATCGGATACGACAAATACACAAACCATTCCCAAGCCTCCCAAGTTTGATCCAGTTCTGTATAAAACCATTAACACTCTAGGTCGTTCCAGAGAACGTCCCAGCTTAGACAAATTGTTAAAAGCGGATGAACAGTCTAAACCTAGAATATTTGTGGAATTGAGCGAACCACAAACCAACAACGAACAAGTTCCTTTTAAACAAAAACTGGAGGCCATATTAAAACGAGGCCCATCTCACAAGCCCCAAACTAAACCTGAAGTAGAGCTTCGAAGACCCAGGTCTGCAGAACCTCAACTAGAGGAGGAGACCCTGCAGATGCCCAGGGAGAACGTAACCAAGTCACAAAGCAATCTCAGTACACCATCGGCCAGCATGATCAATGAAACTCGTAGAACTTTAAGATCGGTTAAACAAAAACAGACCACCGAATTATAACATTAACCAGGCATTCAAAATTAGCAAATCTCTAACTAATCCAGCACAAACACCACCTAACCTAGAATATTAAAAAAATAGAAAACCGAATTGCATGAAAATCGTATAGCATGGTTACAAATCAAATGCAACAAAAACAAACAAACAAATACAACAACACAAATCAAACTAGTCTTCCTTAATTCCTTAATGTCTCAAATCGTTTCTTATTTATTCTCGTTTTTGTTTTTAATCCTATATCGATCAACAGGTCTGGCCATCTACTTCCTTTACGGTCTTCCCAATAGCTACAGGGACCTGAAAAGGCAGCGTCTTGGCTGGCAAAAGCTAAAGTACAGTGAATACTTTTAGATAGTCCAACAGCTGCCAAGCAAAAGCATCCGCAAACAACTGGTGAGGCTTTTCGGCACTCTTCACGCCACCGTGGTAGGGGAAGAGTCGGTTTTTGTTTTGTTAATGGCAAATCTGACATCAGCATCGTTGTCGTGTTATTTGGGATTATTTAGATTTAAGATATTGTTTTAGAAACATTTTTTTGTTATAGAAATAAGTTTTAAGCTATAACAACAACAAACATATTGTATAAGTTTTATTTGGTCTGAATAAAAAAGTAATATTGTGTGTCATATTTTTAGAACAATGAGAGTAATGTTTAAACAAATTGGGAAACGAGAGTTTCAAAAATTTAATTCATAAATCTCAATGTTTGAAATATCACATTTTACATTCTTTAAATTACAAATGGTCGAAAAAATCGATAGTAATTTATTTAATATTAAACAAAAGAACATTGACATGCTTTTACAAAAATGTCAATAAGCGCCATTGTTAATAATAAAATACTTTAATAATAAAATATGACATAAAAATACCGTTTCTCTCTTTAGAAGTTATAATCGTATGAATTTGCAAAATATGAATATATAGAAAGAACCGAGGAAAGTCGGGATTTTGTTCACATACCACGAACGTCATTAGAGAAGAAAATTAGTTTGTTAAAATGAGGAAAATAAAATGGAAAGTAGAGCTTCGATGTCGAAGTAGGCAAAAAACAAAACCTTCATGATGACAAAAATGCATTCAAACCACTTTGTAAAGTTTGTTTATATTTTTTATGCCAACACAACACAAAAAATGGAATTTCCACGTTTCAGATAGACCCTGATAAAATATTTTAAAAAATCCATGCTTCAGGTAGTCGTTAAAAAAATATTAATTAACGATTTTAATTCCCAAATGAAAGATTTTAATACGCAGCATTAAGTTTTTAGTCCCGGGTTACAGATTTTAATCCGCCGGATTAATTCTTTTAGTCCGCGAATTAAAGATCCCCAAACATTCGTAGAGTAATGTAAAAGGTAAACATAACATTCGAAAAAAGAGGTATAAAATACAAGATGGCGTTGCAATTACATAACTATGTTGATATTTATTACAACAATACAGAAAAACTTACCAGTTTTCAAATCGCCATCAATTCCCGAAAGTTACAAATCTGCATAGAAAACTTTTGATTCGCAAGACGAATGCCATATCGTGGGGGCACGACTAAAAGTTCATTTCATTAATTTATTGAGTTTATTTAACATTACAATAAACGACACCGAACTCTCACATTCATATTTACACGAGAAAACAAATTCATTAATTTCACTCTTTCGTCGTTTTTCATGTTGACGATGAACTACAAATCTATGCAATACCCTTTTTTCTCCGAAAAAACATACATTCTCATTGAAATATTAAAATGAAGTTTGTTGTTGTTATTTTACTTCCCCTTTTGGATTTTTCCAAAACTGAGTTGAATTCACTTTTACTCCTTTTTATTTTTTGCCGTTTGCTTATTTCATAAACCAACTAAAAATGCACGTTTCGTCATTTGTTTTTATTTCTCTCTGCACTCTTGTTTTTTCTTTGTCTCTCTCACCCTCTCCCTCTTTTGGGGAGCAATTTGTTTTTATTTGCACCAATTCTTGTTGCTTCGCACGGCCAACGCCATGTGATCGATAGATTGATTTACTTCAAAATCACATTAATTTCACAATTTAACACTTAGAAATGATATATTTGAACATATTTGAAACACAATAGAATATTTATTTATTTCAATAGTAATTTTATATTTGATAATAGCACTTAATAACACAAACAAGATGGAGCCGGCGAAAAACAATGCGAACGATTTTAATGGCTACCGAAAACTAACTCCAATTTGAAAAAGAAGAAGAGGAAGAAAACATAAAGGCGCTCTCTGAGTTGCAGTCAAAAGTAAGAGAACAATGAAGCGGTCATTTTATCAATGATGAGCATCATTTCTCTTACAAATTTCTTGTGGGATTTAATTAATTTAACATTTTTAGAACATAAACAATATCCGAAGAAGTGTAAAAAACAACTTTTCGTTAAAGTTTAACAAACAAACCCCCTATGAGAAAGCATCAACGCTGGTGTGCAAAGCTGCCCAACTTTGGTTGAAACCACGCAAAAATTTAAAAGATCGATTAATATTTCAATATTAAGAGATAAGAAGAAGACATAAGAAGCATTTATTAATGGGAAAGGGTTCGTTTTTTAATGCCATACAAAACTATTTTGGCATTTGTTCCAAGATCTTTACAGCTTAAGACCCTTGCCAAACCTTATTTATATTCGAAAACAAGTTTTTTGATCCAATCCATTATCTATAAAGGGATGGAGGAAGGGATTTATATATTTAACCATTTTAATACATCCTACATAAAGGGTCTTACACAGATAAATTCTTAACACATCTACATTAGATACGAAGACATTTTGCACATACGTTGTAACTACTCCTGGCAGCATGATGGCTTTAAAAAGGGGTATATCGATCCACAAATTGGTATTGATCGACACACCAAAATATTCCTTATATTGGGTAGGTTTGTTTAACCGTTGTAGTTTGGAATTTTGGGTTTTCAATCTTCTTACGAAAATGATCAATAGTTGTCCACTTTTTTGAGTAGACCCATATAAAGGTATGGACCTTAGTTACAGTATTTGGTGAATTTCAACATTTCTTTCAACGGGAGTAAATAGGGTGTACATTTATTGGAATATGAACCCACCTTTTAGGAAATCGGCCGTCATATCTAAACTAACTTCATCGCCGTATTTATGGGCCGCCAAATTTTATATACATGTAGGTCCGGTTATGGTCAAATTCTTGTTTTTAGTAATAATCTGTTAATATTTTCGTTATCTAATCGACCAAAAAATACAATTATGATTTTAATATCACGAAATTATTCATAGAGAGGGGCATCTGGCCAACCATCATGGTGGTTTCGATGAAGATGTGACAATATTAATGGGGTTAAGTGGCCAAAAACTTTCTAAGTCAGTTTGTAAAAAAGCCCAGATCACATTTACTATCAGAATTGTATGAAACTAGATAAGTATATACTTTGTGGGGTAGGAGTAAGAGACCAAGCATATGTATCTCTTTGATTTCTTTTTTATCATCCCCATTTTAATTTTTATTTCAGTCAAATCTCTAATATGTAATCATAAATTATTATGTAAAAAGATGTCATTACATTCCCCCTCTATTAGTTTTACAATATCTTAATATTGAAATATAAATCGATCTTTGAAATTTTTGCATTATTTCAACCAAAGTTGGGCAGCTTTGATGTTTTATCATAGCGGGTTTGTTTGTTATAACAAAACTAAACTTTAACGAACATTTGTTTTTTTAATTTCTTCGGATATTATTTATGTTCTAAAACGTTTAAATTAATTACATCCCACATTTCCCTAAACAATTTTTAAGAGAAGGTTTTCAAATTTGCATAAAATTGCTGCTTCATTGTTCTCTTACTTTTGACTGCAACTCAGAGAGCGCCTTTTTGTTTTCTTCCTCTTCTTCTTCAAATTGGAGTTAGTTTTCGGTAGCCATTAAAATCGTTCGCATTGTTTTTCGCCGGCTCCATCTTGTTTGTGTTATTAAGTGCTATTATCAAATATAAAATTACTATTGAAATAAATAGATATTCTATTGCGTTTCAAATATGTTCAAATATATCATTTCTAAGTGTCAAATTGTGAAATTAATGTGATTTTGAAGTAAATCAATCTATCAATCACATGGCGTTGGCCGTGCGAAGCAAAAATAATTGGTGCAAACAAAAACAAATTGCGCCCAAAAAGAGGAAGAGAGTGAGAGAGAAAAATAAAAAGAATGAGAGTGCCGAGAGATATCAAAACAAATGATGAAACGGGCATTTTTAGTTGGTTTATGAAATAAGCAAACGGCAATTAATGAAATAAAATTGAATTAAACTTAATTTTTGGAAAAATTGAAAAGGGGAAATAAAATGACAACAACAAACTTCATTTTAATAATTCAATGAGAATGTTTGTTTTTTCGGAGAAAAAAGGAATTGCATCGTCAACATAAAAAAGACGATACAGAGTGAAAATATTGAATTTGTTTTCAATGATGTCGCAGATGCAACTACTCGCGTAAATATGAATATGTAAAGTCGGTGCCGTTTATTATAATGTTAAACTCAATAAATTAAATTAATGAAATGAAATTTGAATCGTGCCCCGATATGGCGTTCGTCTTGCGAATCAAAATTATTCAATACAGATTTGTATTTTGCATTACTGGTAAGTTTTTCTGTATTGTTGTAATAAATATCAACAATGTTATGTAATTGTAACGCCATCTTGTATTTAATATTATGTTTACTTTTAAAGTTGATCTTCAATTCGCGGATTAAAATAATTAACCCGGCGGATTATAATATTTAATCCTGGGTTTAAAACAAATTAATCCTTGCGGTTAAATTCTTACATTTGGGGACTAAAAACTTTAAGCTGGTCATTTAATCCTTTCTTTTGAGAATTAAAATCTTTAACCCGGACGACAAAAAATAACATAAAATGATCTGGGGGAGTAAAATCTGTACTCCGGGGACAACTATTTTACATCCTGGCGATTGATATTTAAGGAAGCGTGATAGATAGTTTAAAAACATTTTCCACGACTATCTGAGGCGGGGATTTTTTACAAATAGCATACTTCGATTGCATATTTACAAAATTTCAAACTTTTTGACCATAATAGTTTTGTATGGCATTAAAAAACTAACCCTTTCCCATTAATAAATGCATTTATTCCTTCATTCGTTGAATTTATAAATGTTTTGCATTTATTTGGTGTGATGTTATATAACTCATCCTACAAACTTTAATACTCTGAAGAGGACAAAAGAAAAATAAAAAATAGTGGTTTTCATTAAACAGAATTGTATTTTCTTAATTTGAAGCTACTTAACTAGAATTTTTTTAACATTATAACTAAAAACTAACTAAAAAAACAAGTTTATACTCAGACAGAGAAATTCAAAAAAAGGAAAGAGAGATAGGCTTTTTGCAAATAAACCTTCGCTCTCTCTCTCCAAATTGTTGATTAAATGAATAAAACGATTGCATCTAAAGGCTTAAATCTTAAATCAAAATAATAGTTTAAATTATTGGTGCTATGTCTAAACAGACACCAGCGAGTCATTTCATTGTTGTAGGGCACTTTGGGGAGGCGTTAGGGGCGTCCAGGTATTGCCCGTAGCAGCATTATTTTGTACAGGAGCTGAAACGACGGCAGAGGGATCGGCTGAGGGGGCTCTGAGGTGACCATTGGCGTTTGCCGACGACAACGTTTCCAACTTAACCGAATTCTCAACAACATGGGGTGCAGTATCTGCCTTAAGGCTATTACATTCCAAGGTCAGAACTGTGGTGGGTTCTTCGGGGCTTCTGTACAGGGCATTATGACTGGCATTGTCCATGGTTTTGGTGACTTCTACTGGTTCCAAAGCGGGTGGGACATAAGTGCTGCATGGTTGACGAATGAAAAGAATAATCATTGATAACTAAACTACAATTTATTAGATAATTGAATAAATACAACAAAAATAAGGTGAAGATAGACGGGGAGAGAGAAAGAGCGAAAATGACAATTGATTAGAACTTACCCAATTTCCGAAACCAAAGGGATATATTCGGTTTGATAGGCATAGGCGGCTGGATTCTGATAGAGACCGTAATCGGCTGCTGCTCCGTTATGCCACGACGTACTGGGATACGATAAGGCACTGGGCGTATTCAGAACGTTCGAGTACAGCTGGTGAGAGGTGGGTGATGTTGGTGTGGGATGATACACTTGATGAGCAGGAGCAGCATATGATTGTGTGGTGGGTGAAACACTTTGATACATATCGGCCGAATGGGTAACAGTAGGTTGGGCCATGTTGTACTGATGTGTGTGGCTATGGGGAGTCAAATGATGAATAGTGTAACCAGGAGAGGGGGCAGTGTAAGTGGGTGAGCCATTGTTTGTGGGTGAAGGGGAATTGTGAGATGCTACAGAAGAAAATACACATGCATTAGTATATTTTTAAAAATGTTTTTTGTAGGTTCTTATGTTCTTATACTTACTCATGGCTCTGGCTGTATTAACTGGCATGGGTCCAGGCACTGCTGGAGAACTCCAGTAATTGGCATTTGTTTGCCATGTTGTGGGATATGAGAATACTGTGGCACTTGAGGTGGGTTCTACGGGCATAAAACCCGACTGTGAATAGGAACTGGTGAAACAACCACTTGATGTGGGTGTTGAGCCGAGCTGGGTATTGCTCGATTGCAAACTGGTCGGTGTCTGGGGTGCTGATGGAGGCTGTGGTGGTGATGCATTTCCAGTACTACCATTGCTGCCCGATCCGGAGACAATACGTGGACGACTATAAGGTGTGGATCTGTTGGAGGCATTGGAGCGGCTACTTAAGGCCCGACCATATCGGTCACAATTACCCGACACCAATGACGATTCGGCCAAGCTGTTGTGATTCACCGGAGAGCTGGTGTAGTGGGTGGGTGGTGGTATTAACCAACCATAATGGGCATCATGAGAGTACAACGTATCGGGGCGCTCCTTTGTGAAAAGATTTGTTTTTATTAGTTTTTGTTTTACATTGCGAACATAAGTCATAGACGAAGACAAAGAAGGAATTGAACTCACCTTGGCATCCAAAAAGGCCTTTGCAAATGGATTGTATTTAATCTTCAACGATGTCACCTCCTCATTTTGATAGGCAGTAACGGCAATAAATTGGGTTTCTGGAAAGGGATAGGTGACCACATGACGTTGTTCCGAACCCACACGCACCAAATGTACCCGAGGTTCATATTTGTGCAGGGAGTTTAACATTATTTGGCCATTGCCATTTGTTTTGTTGGTCAGCTTTACTTTGGCAAAGCTAATGGGTTCCTTCATCCAATGGGCACCGAAGTTCGGCGATTCTGGGTGTACATATATGGGATTGGAAGGAGGGACTTCTGCCTTACCGCCGGGTACCCATTCGCCATTGACGTATTTCCAACGATGGGTATCAACTTGTACAAATTCCAAAAGCACGGTATACATGGCGGCTGGATCCAAACCTGAGGCACTGATTTTAACCACCGGAAACATGCGCCTATAATAAACAAACACACACATACATACATACATACATAAATATCGAATCGAATAGTAAAATTTGTTTTGTTCAAGTTTTTCTAAGAAGCATGACTGCATCAATTAACACTTCTCTATTCATATTTCCAACAACAACAACAAGTGATACCAAACTTGGATGGGTTGTTTTCCCAATCATTTGCTTCTTCTTTTGTTTTGTAGTGGAAGAAAACGTTAGAATCTCATTATTATATATATTTTGTTTTCTTTTTTAAATAAGAACCTTCGAAAGTAATTTGCAAAAGAAAAATCACTTTTTGTTCTTTTGATGTAAACATTTAGCACCTTCGTGTGCAAATACAGTAGGTCTCGCTTATAACGACCTTCAAATAGTCTACAATTGTAATAAAAGCTATGGAAACAATTGTGATGTTTCCAATTGCCTTCATTTTTCATCAAAACAATCGAACTTACCTTCCGTTCTTTGTAACAATCATTTCATTGGTGAGATTTTGGAATCGCAACCACAGCTCTCTGTCATCCAAGGAGACGTGTAAATTTCTTTCCAAGGCATTGGGACTGCCACGGTTACCCAAAGAGTTGTGATTGCCGGCACCGACCATGGCATCTGGGGCATGCAAATGTTGAGGTGAATGTGTGCCATTGCTATGGGGATCCACGGCCGATAAGATGTGTGAAGTTGACATGTCTTCTAAAAAAAATAACAAAACAAAAATTCCAAGAAAAATAATTAAAATTTATTTCTATTTGTGTTAGCAGGAATTTCATATCAAAACAAAAAACTTAAGACACAAACTGGCTGTAACCAATTTCTACTGGCAAAGAACTTGGACAAGAGACAATCGATTGAACTCCAATTCGGAACATAAATATTTCTTCTGTTTTGAGTTGTATAATTTTTGTTTCTTAGCTGTTTAGCTTTTACCTCCCCCACCGCTCTTCGGGCACGTTTATTATTAGCAGGTGTTGTAAAAGCGTTCATAATTTTATTAATTTACAATGGCAATGCAAATAGCTTATAAAGTTCGTTGTTTCTTTTAAATCGCTTTTTAAACCATTAGATTTGTGAGAGACAGCATCGACCAAAGACCAAAAACGCCGCCATGTATATTGAATTGATACAATAAAAGTCTCTGTATTGCCCAAACAGCGGTCAAGATTTAAGAAGTTTGTTTTCCTAAGCCAAATTCTGATGGATTGTGATTGTCTGTCCGTCGGCCGGCCGGCCGGACGGAATGGTGTTGATAGCATAGGACTGCTGTCTAAATTACTCATGTCGGCATTGTTTTAAAATTTATATTGCACATTTTAGCCACGCTCAAGTGAATAGCCCGACAGACAGACGGACGGACAAACAGACATACAGCCATACCGAATAAGCGGTCAATGCGTCATAACTGTTTGAAGAGTAAAACAAAAACAACAAGAAAACTTGCATCTCTCCACTGGTGATAGGCCATAAAAACGAGGGAACCCTTCTGTTTTACGATATCCACCATAACCAGAATTTATGTAAGAAGTGTCGAAAAAACAAAAATATTTTGAAGTATAGAAAATGATGTGACGTCTTTATAAACACAGACAATAATCCGAAACAAAAATATATTGATCATCGTGTCCAGGAATAGAATTGAGCTATTGAAGGCATTGCGTTGATGTTTCTGGTTGCCATCATAAATTCTCTAATTGCCAAAATGACAGATTTATTCAAGGGGTATTTCGAGAAAAAGAAAAATAATTGAGAGATCGAAAATCTTTGGAAAATTGTGAACACAAAAAAAACAAAGATTTGGTAAATTAATTTATTGGGCCCATGCCGACAGAAGTCTTGTCAAAAGGTATTACATTTATGACGAGCCGTCAGACAGTTCTTACCAAAGGAGACAAATTCAATGATTAATAAAAGCTACTGATATCAAATAAAAGAAATTGTGGGCTCAATAAAAAAACATCGAAACGAAACAAAATAACTAAATTTGTTTTCTGTTTCTAGGCTATAAATTATCAAACTTCTTCGTGGACATGCAAAGGCAGAAGCCGATAGACAAAAAATTCGAAATTTCAACGTTTAATTATTTAGTACGATAGACCAGTATTTGTTGTTGTTGTTGTTTTCTTACGATTTTTACTTAATTGTTGTTTTCTTTTATTTATTTATTTATTTGCCATTGATTAAACTTTGGCCGTCTTCTTTTCTGTTTGTCTAAATCGTGACTTCAGTATTTACTTAAGTCAAACGCGTTTTTAGTCAGTAAACATTGTACATATGTATATATACATGGGTTTATATAAGTTTCGATATGAATGATGGTATATCGATATCGAAGTATACATTTTGGATTTTAAAGTTTTTTTTTTAATTTAAAAAAAAATGCGTGTAAGATTTAGTTGGGTATATGTTAGGACATCGGTCAAAAAGCGAGGATTCCCTCTTATTAAAAATCCCTAAATTAATAGAAAGAAATTGAGTTTTAAACTGTAGATATGCCAGTCTATATGAGTATAATATTAAAAACGATAAAAGAAGCGAAAACAAATAAAACTTATTATTTCCGAATCGATGAAACAAAAACCTATTAGCAATTTATCAAGAAAAATTATTAATAGATAACCGATTTTTTTATTACGAAGGATATATCTCTAACCGTCTGAGTATGAATAAACAAAACACTTCGTTTTTAATTGTATAAATATGTATTTAATTATATTTAAGAATAAATCGATTGAACACGTTCAAGTTATGATTTTCTTCTGAAAGTTTTTATGTCGTACTTTGGCATTAAGTATGCGTCTTAAGTCTTTTGTTTTGAATGCAGTCTATAGTGGATGTTTATTTGTATTTCTTTTAAATGATTTTTTTACAAGTCACATGGACATTAATTAATTAAAAATTATATCAACTTACGCATTGTATTTAAAGTTAGTGGTATTCCAAATGTGTTGAGTGTTGAGTGTAAATTAAAGTTATGCGTTTTTAACAGGTGATTGTCACAATTACCAAATTGTTTTTTGTTGATATATTCAAAATATTTTTATTGTTGTTTATTTTTTAGAACATATTTTCCCACAATATTATTTTAATTTAATTTCTTTTTATTATGTTGTGATTTTGACAATTGTTTTGTTTTTTGGACTTTGTTTTTTGTATTTTCACTTTTTTTATTTTTTTATTTCGGGGCAACTTCTTATAATAAACGTTTAACACTTGCGTGTCAAATATGTCACGCGCCACTTTAAATTATCAGCAAATGATACACCGCGGGAAACGGAACTGACACACAAACGCCTATGGAGTGAGTGTCTCAGTGTGTGTGTGTGTTGTCAACTGTGTGGGGTGGTGATAAAATCAAATATTCAAGACAAAAAATGAAACACTGCAGATTAACAGTTGGCTGCCTGATCAGATTTGATTGGATTGGCTTATTTGATTTAACAACAACGACAACAGCAGCGCCGTTTAGATTGTCTTTATTGAGGATCTCCCCCGGTTTGGGCTTTGGTCGTTATGATAATTAGGTACTTTTCACTTCACTTTTTTGCGTTAAATTATTAAATTACTGTTAATTTTATGTTGTTTTTGTGTTAATAGCGGTTTACGGCTGTTAACGCACTTTATGATGTCTGCCGATGGCTGGTTGGCTGATTTGAGCTGTACTAAAATTTTGTACAAACTGTAATTAATTAGTATCCATTTGTCAAATAGCAATGGGTCCTACTGCAGGGGGTCGGTTGGGAGGACAGAATTTACTTTTTTTTTGGTTGATAATATTTTGAGTTATTTTTAGATTTGCGAATTTATTTTTAGATTTCAACACTTGTTTTTTTTATTATGTTTAGCACTTTTTTTAAGAATTTTATTGTTGTTTGTCGAAAGTGTTTATTATTAACAAGATTATTATTTAAAATTTTAGAGAATTGTGTTTCTCTAATTAAAACTTACTTTGAATATTTCTAATATTTGAAGTTCTTTCTTTTTCAAATAATTTACTAAATATTTATTTAATATTAGTCTTCAATATAAATATTTTTAATTTTATTTTTCGATATTTTTCGTTTTGTCAAATAGCGCGTTCACACCCGTTTGCGTACTCCGAAGCTAATGATCGGTGTTAATTTGTTCAGCCATCACAAAAGTTGTCGTTTTTCCTCATCATCTCCTCGAAACATCATTCACAAACCCAAAACCCACTTGTTGCTGTTGTTTTTGTTGTCTTTAGCCTTTCTACACCTTTTTGCCGGCCAACTCGTTCTTCACTCTTTTAACTCATTGATCTTTACGGACGGCAGGTATCGATGTCTTGCTTTTGCCTACGGGCCAAGCTCCGCCTCGTATTCCGTTTCGTCGGTGTGTTGTTGCAGGCAGGCAGGTAGGTTGGTAACCATATTTGTTGTATTGTCTGGCCAGCCAGTCGTTCAGCTTCAATGTGACCATTTTAACTTAGTTTTGTTTTAGTCATTGCACGTTTGCGTACTGACGGTACGACTATAGCCTGGCAACAGCCAGGTAGAATGAATGGCTGGATATCTATTAAATAACTACATTGAGAAAAATAATGTGCGAGTAGTTAGTTGATCTGCATATGTGGTCAATGAAACGAACTACGACAATAGGGACAACTAAGCCATCTTTGCGATTACTTAAAATAGAATAAAACTATATTCAATCCCTTCCAAGTCTAACAATATATTACGAAAACAATTTATCTGAAGTAATTGTCAGTAGCAACAATCCATAGCTTGTTATTTACAAAAAAAAACCGTTTTGATTGGAAAAACTTTTCTCATATATTTATTCCGGTGAACTTATACCGATCTTGTCCTGTTAAAGTCTGCAATCGAAACGCAGGTCGCAATAATAAATTGATCAATACGGTGATACTAATCGCATGAATTTATAGCACATTAGCTGCAAGATCGGCATAAATCAAATGTCGTTATTTTTGAGTTAATGACTCAGGACTGTCCGCTATATCAGACTTTATGTTTTGTAAAAAAAAAATCGGATGAACATCTCTTTCACACTCTAATTTAGAAGCTGTAGAAGTTCTTCTGTTCCTTGTAAGGTGTGGGTCAATTTTCTGCAAAATCAGGCTTTTAATTTATACCGGTTTAGCAGTAAATGAGCGATATGGCAAAGAAAAAATATTGTTCATTAAGATAATGAAATAATCTCCGGATTCTGGCTCCAAAACCTACTTCAAGCAATGACCATTTTTCTTGGATACCAAAAGTTAATATTTTTGAAAATGATATGAGCCCATTAAAAGGGTGTTTCGAAATAATTTCAATGCAATTTTTATATTTAACCCATTTAGCTGCACTGTTCGATTTTTCGTTTTTCTTTTCTAAAAAAAAATAGGTATGAAAAATATATATATATATATATATTTGGGCCATGATATATATTTTTTAAAAATATAAGTTGGTATTAAGTCTGAATCGTCTAATAAAAAAAATCCCTCAACTACTTCCCCTTTCTCGATGGCAGGGGTCAATTTCTGAAACCCATATTTTTGGATACTTTTTCAATCTGTACAAAAATTAAATTGAAAACTCCAAAAAATAAATGGATTGGGGTCCATTTCATTCTAAAAAATAAAAATTGAATCTCATTAAACAACTTGTTTCTCTCGGTGTACTTACGACATTTCTTACCATCGTCATATTGAATGCCTGGTACAAAACGAATCGGGTT